GACGGGGGAAGTTAAGGGTCAAACTAGCAACCTTTTAAGTGAAACATTCACTCATTCAGTTTTGTGAGTTCGAACTGGTTGACATGGACTTTAATTGGACCATCATTCCTGTTTGGTCAGTCACATAACCGTCCCACATTTAACACCAGACAATGGCAGTGATTTGAGATATTTCTGATCGTCTAAGTGACCGTCACAGTTCCCTTCCTTTGCTTGGCGAAATGTCCCATTTACATGTTGTTTTTCACCATTTGACTGAGTCTACACCCTTTAAATGAAGTCATCTAGCTGAGCGCTGTTTGGAAAGCCATTTATCCTGCTATTTATAATCATTCCCAATAAAAAGCTTTTATCGGTGGTAAGAGAAACGAGTGTAAAATGAACAGGTAAAAACTTTATTTGTACGAACCTTAACATAACAGGTCAATGAATTGTGGCACTTGGTGATGAAATTACCAAAAATGTTGGTAGAAAAATACATTTCTGTCAGTTTTGGTGGGAAGTAAAGGTGCAATTCACATAAACAGCAGAGAGCCCATCCAACAGAATAAAGTGTCCATAATTTCATAACAACCCCCCAATTTACAAATTTACTGTACGAGTTCATATAACAGATGAACCAGTGTGAGAATCAGTGACTCAGACAAAGGAACCTCATTCGACTTCGGCCCATGCCACATATACAGGAAACCAACTTAACCAGGAAGAGGTTGCTAACTATTAAACTGCCATCTCCAGAGTGAGTGCAGCAGGCCAAATAAAAATATGAGACATGAAATAAGAAAGTTTTGTGTGTCCATTACCGTGTCCAGCAGTGTAAAAATTCATTTTAAAAAGGTCAAAAATATGTTTTTACACCAACAGACAACAAAAATCAATCATTCCTATAGAATCAATTATCCTTCACAGTGACATGACATTAAATTATTGTTTTATTATTTCATGCAGGACAATTCTGAGCAAAAGCCAAGAGGGCAATAGATTTTTTTAAAAACCTGAATCAAGGGTTTGAAAAGTAATCCATACATTAAAGAGGCTCAATTCATCACTGATATGTGCTGAATGAAGACTTGTGTTCATCCCACAGCTTAGTGCTCCTCTGAACCCAAAGAATAATAATCAGGAAGTTTAACTATGCAAACACAGTTGCCTCCTGGATACAGAAACTCTAGAACAGGAGTTCCACTCTGGTTCACCTTTACCGACAGCAGGGTTAGACTTTAATGCTGCCGGAACAGTGATTTTTAAAAAAAAATTAAGCTTGTATGGTTTCTGAACTCTCTCAGCCTTTTCATCCAGCCAAAAGCAGCACAAATCAATCAGCTGGTCACCATGTGAAACTCTACACACCGAGCCTCCGCTCCCAGTCCCCACTCGCAATTCCAATAAAAATTCTTTATTCAAGATGAGTGCACGGCCCAAAAACTATTTACCCTTTTTTTTTTTTTAAAGGGAGGCTAAATATTAGTTCTCAAAACACATTTGAAATCACATCTGTGTTGTTGCCATTAGTGACGCAGAAACTTCCCTAATTTGGAGTAATATGAGAGACAAGACCACCGGATATTCAAAGTCGAACCAAGGCTCTCCGACCTAATGGCTGTTCAACAAGTGCACAATCGGGATAAAAAAAACAAGTGTTAAAAGTTGGAACAAACATACCCCGGTGGAAGTGGTCTCTCCCAAGTTGTGGTTTTGGTATTGTGGTCAACGTAGTACACTCGGCCGTGGGGCAAAACTCGCTGCTCCCAGCTGCAAAGACAGACGAGCACACATCAACTCCAGCACCACAAAAACAGGCTCCTTCTTTTCTGAGATGACACAATCTACATGACTTATAGGGCTATTCTGAGAGCGCCCCACGGTAGCTGGACAGAGAGCAGCACTGATGCAGTAAATCCAGAGGACACTCCTGCTCCCAAAACGGACTTAATGACCTCTAATCACACACTAAGGTTGTTGGGTGACACTTATCAACCAAAATGTCCCATTTATCTTTGTTTCTAGTTTCTGTTTCTTACTGCCACCTTAATTGGTCTCACCTGCAATGAGGGGAGGGGGAGAAATAACGTCCTGAATGATTACTGCAAATTTCCTAATTCATTCACCAACACCTCTTCTGTAAATAACTGTAAATGATTTACAGCTACAAGAAGGAATGATGTTCCTTAGATTGCTGACTGAAGTTGAGAGGGAATCTTATCTTTGATATATTTACTAAATGTTATGATGAGGAACTGTTAACCCTGCACTGATGATGTGTCTTAATTTTTAACAAGGTGGAGCTGAAATGTATGCTGAGATTAAAGTCTGGAAAGTGAGTCATCACATCTGAATTGTTTGAGGGAACTCTCTTTCCAACCAAATGGGATTATTTAGGAAAAATGACTTTTTCCATGTATATATGTTTTTATGATACACCACTTCGTCATCTTCCACTTCTCACTTAAACTCAAATATGTATTGATTAACACTGAGAATGAGCTCCTTTATCACACACCACATCTACCCTGCACCACACAGGGCTTGCAGTCGTAAAGTCGTGGCTGTTTGTTGAAGTTTAGCAGACATGGTAACTTTACTGGCTTTTTCTAACCCCTGCTAACAATTTCAACCAGAAAAACACTGAACTGAGCTTCTGTTGCTTCAACTTTTCGATTTTCATTTGGATTCAGTGACTCCATAACACACTGTTAGAAAGTGTGGAGACGACGTTTTCAGAAATGTTTCTTTCTCTTAAATTTGTGTGGAGCAGGGTGTTTCCCAGGAAAGAGTGTCCATTGGAAGGTCAGAGTTTTAGGGACAAATCCACAGTGAAAAGCTGCTGGAGCTCTGACCCTTACCCCGCTGGGAGCGAGTCATTGGTGGACTCTGTGGAGCTGTTGCTGGTCTGCTCAGGGTTGGAGGTGGCACTGGGGCTGGGCTCGGCGGGGGTCACGGAGCCCAGAGCGTCCTGACCATGAGAGGGGCTACTGCTGCTGCTGCTGGCTGCTGGTGACCGGCCTGATGGCGAGGATGAAGGAGGAGTCTGCCGGGCCACGCCTCCACTCCTGTCCAGCCCGTTGGATGTCAGCTCAACTTTATCTGAGAGACCATGCAATGTAGGAGAAAATCATCACCGAAAGATATTCAGATATATTCAGATATACCCAGTGACACGTTTCTTCTTTTGTGCCATCTAAAGGCTACATGTTAAAATCCTGTTCGAGTCTGTGTTGTAAAATGAGAAAGTGAGCAGTTTAATTGCCTGCACTGTTTCCGGGGACGTCGAGACTCTTTGAGGAACGGCGGTGACCAGAGGATCCGGGTCCAGGGATCTGCTCCTCCGTCAACTCCCCATTAGTCAGAGAACTCCCTCTTGAGCCCCCCGGGGATTCTCCCTGTGGACCCCCCAATGAGTGCCGGTTGCTCCTGCAACCCCAGTTTAAAAAAGAAAAAAAGGGATCAGAGCAAAAAAGAGAAATGAAAAGCATATGAAGGGGGGTAGATGAACAAAAGCAGGAAGAGAAACAGAGACAGAGATGGGACAAAGAAGCGTCATTAGCTGTTTTTACTGTATTCAAAACATATGTTCAGCTTGTTACTTTTAGTCTTTTGAACTTGAGACACTTGTTGTGTTGTGAAACCGGCGGATGTGTTCAGGGGAAAAACAGCACACCCAGACCAGCTCAGAGGTGTCTGCGCCGGCCACTTTTCCTCCCTGGACGCCGCCATGTTTTCCTTTCGCTAAAAATACCACTTTGCTTTTCTGTCGAGAATTTTCATACAAAGAAAAACACGCTGGCCTTCCCTCCCCAGCGTCGAGGAATGCTGCGGCCGTGCTTGGACCGCCACCAAGACAGCGGGGTTCAGGACAACGGCGTTTATCCCCCCCCCCCCCCCCTCCGTCAGCGAGAAGAGGCGGCGCCGTGGATATGTGCCGCCGTCGGCGGGCGTGTTGGCGTGTGGCCGTCACCGGCGGCCTGTCTGCTGGGGGCCGTCCGTTCACGCACAGGGCTCACATGTTGGCTGCTTCTCCGTGACAGCGGCGGTCTGGACTTTTGGCTGAACCGTGCCTAAATACCCCCCACAATGTTTGGAGGGAAATACCAACCGACCCCACGCGCTCCCGCAGGAAAGCTTTGAAATAAATGCAGCCTCCTCCACTATTTATTATCCCACTACCATTCTAGCCAGAGAGCAGCGTCTGGAACCGCACTCAGTGGGGAATAACGTGCTGGCACTCTGCGTAAGAGCCTCAGACGACCAAACTGGCAGCGGACGCGTTCACTCGATCCTCTTCTTTTCTTTCCTCTGTTTATTTGGAGTACAATTAGGCCCGGGGTTTATGATTTTCATATAAGCGCTTCGCAAACAATATTTCAGAGAAAGGTTTCACGGGGTTATTATTGTGCATTTATTCTTATTATCATACCGCAGTGTCGGCAGAGTTTTGAAACCGGCTGCATGAGGAATTTTCCTGGATTTCGATGGCCGAACGCTCGGTTTCTAAGTCTGTAAGCGTGTGAAACTTATCTGACGTCTGTATTCCACCTCCTTCATGTCTTTCTACATTATGACCCAAAATTATCGCTCACGACTACCCCGCCCACAGAACTGCTGATTTAGAATGACTTTAATGACATAAGACCTGATAAGGCTTTCAAACCTAACATTTTAAAGGTCAAAGGTCAATCGCACAAATAACTTTGTTTTTTCTCTTTTGTCTCACTTGGATCATTGGAAACTGAATGTTGCTCGTTAAAGGTGCTCTAAAGCTGTGTGTTTGCTTTTCTGACCTGGCCAAGTATCCGGTCAGCCTGGAAGCTGGTGGACATAGAGCTGGCAACTTGTGGTGGAGCAGTGCTGAACATGGACTGTGTCCGAGTTTTCTTTGAGACGATGCATGGCCGGACGTGCCTGCAGGAACCTCTGCTCTGCTCTGATTGGTTGCTTTTAGAGCATCTGAGCCTCAGCTGAGAGGGGAAGCCCTCTACAGCCGTGCATTCAGAGTCATCAGTTCAAACTGCGCTAACGGCCTCCGTGTCTGTGTGTTCTGACCTGCTGTGGGATCCAGCTGTGCTGGTGGTCTCCTCACTCTGAGTCCTCCTCAGGTTCGGCCTCTCAGACTGAAGAATTTCTGCAAGAGAAACAGTTCAAGTCACGACTGAACAGAAACTGCTGACAATCACCACATTTCCAGCGTGACGAAAACAGACACAATCATAAAAATAAAGATTTATCACTTGAACTGATGCAAGCCACAGCAGTTCAAAGAGAAAAGAATACAGAAAAAGAGAGCTGTGAGCTGGATTTACACATTTAGGGTGACAAAGTGGCAAAATATTTAGTTCACAGACCATCGAGTAAAAAAGAAATTGCAGCTAAAGACTGAACACAGACACATGAGAATGATATTTTCTCTACCCTCAACATTCACTGGATTAAAATGACTAAGCATACATCTGTCGGTTATAAATATTTCTGTTTAGACGGGAAAACATGTGTGCTACTTATTACACTGTTATTTCAACTTTCCTTTTTATTTACCACCCAATCACAGACCTACAGCTGCAAAAGTGAAACAATCTGATCAGAAACATCAGTGTTGTTTCTGCCTAAAGATGTTTACTCATCCTCCAACAAAAACCTGCAATCCACTCTGTCCATTTAATATTATTTGGATTTATATTTGTTTATAGCAAAAAGCTGTAATATTCTGCATAGCTATCAAAAGCCTCTAACGTATAAATGCACATGATGCTTTCAAACAAAAAGGTAAATAAGCAAAACCTAAAAAAAAGAATAGATTTCCCTGTTTGTCATTATGAGACAGTTTATTTCCAGCTAAATATAAAATATAATATGTTCTATTGGGTGTACCACCCCTTCTTGTCATTTGGAAAAATAATCTCAAACTTTGTACTTTCTCAATTTATTTGTTTTATGTATATATACATTCTTTTTTTAATCTATTTTCTTATTTTACATGATTGTATTTTTATTTAATTTTATGTATTTATTTTTTATCGATTTATTTTTTATGGGTTTCATCCATGTGGATGAAAACCCAGCATTCAGCTGAAGTGGATTTCAGTGCCCACCTGCCCCACATTTCATGTCCACCCCTGGTGCATCCTGGTCACTGACTAACCTGATCAGGGACTAATTTGGGTTAGTCTTGAATCGGGTTACGGGCTTCAGGCTTAAAACAACAAATGATTTCTTTTCACTGAATCTCAAGCCAGAAATTTGTTGTCAGACTTCAGAGAACAGGGGAAAATAGATGCTTTATCTGCTTTAAAATCTACACTTTTTTAGGATGTATAAATCCTTTCACGCACTGCATAAGCTGCCACTTAAAACATCATGTTTAGAGGGGCTTTCGCTGGGAGATAAGCCCTCCTCCACCTCTTCTGCATCATCTCAGGAACAATGAATTAGTGCCGTAAATCAAAAACGTTTCCAGAGCGCCAGTTTCAGTTCCAGTATCTCCGAGATGTCTTATCATTTATTTTGAACATTGCAGAGGTTCCAGGTCTCCAGCAAAGCTGTGGAAGATGACGGAGTAATCACAGCGAGGTTCAGTCTTCTAAGTGTTTATAAAAAACATAATGAAAGCCATACAGGCTTGACGTGTGGGAGTGGAGGTAAAGCTGGTGGTTTAACAGACCATTCGTCCCTCCGTGCGCTTTGCCGGTTTGTGTGCGCAGTGGTGTGCGGTCTAGTGGGGGAATGTGCGACTACACAATCCCAACTGTGACTGACAACCACAATCCCGTAGCATGCTTTTCATTAACACTCACTTTTTCTCCTTCATACACACAAAATGCACCACCTTCCAATGAGGCAGGCGCTCGCACCGAAGCCCCCGGCTGCCTCGAACAGCATCCGTGTTTGCACACATATACGGTCAATCCTCCGATCTAAAGTTAAGCAAACCCGGCAAGCCCGTGCAGAACTCACACGCACGCACAAACACACAAGACTTCTGTTTTGTGGCAATGAAAGGGCCTCTTGTGAGCAGGCCCGGTGGACATACAGAAAAATAAACAGTGGTCTTGAGGAGAAACCATTGTGTCATTGCCTGCTCACTGAGTTCATCACCCCCTCCCTCATAGCGGTATGGCTCTAATTACTGCTCTGCTGTGTGGCTGTGTGAGCGCACAAAGGGGGGCATACCTGTAGCAACATCTCAACAACTGAGCTGCTGTAAAAAACCCAAAACAGACGGTGGATTTCCATCCACAACTGCCACAGACTGAATGAATGAATTAGGTGAATGAAATAGACTGCTCTGCTTTGGTAAAATCAGATATCGGGAGTATTACTTAAAAAAAAAGCTCACGGCTCATAATTAGTCTGTTACAATTGGGACTATATTGAATACAAAAATCAACATGATGTATTAAAAAAAAAACTAACGTACAAGTTTAATTCTTAATTCACAATTATTTAAAAAAAATAGACAAAGCTAAACATTCTCATATTTACATCATGTTCATTTTAAAATTTGTATTCATCACCACAAACAAAACAGACAGAAAAGGTTGATTAATTAGTACCTACTAAAGCTGTAAGCTGTGCTTCAGAATAATCTTCTTTGATTGTGCTTCAACAGAAAAAGATGTTGCGAGAGGCTGAATCCAATAAAATAAAGCGTCTGGTGGGTTTATTATTAAAGGTTTATTCATTAGTTCGGTTAGAGAGGTAATTTTTGTGTCATAAAAGCATGAAAACGATGAGGTTAAAGCTTTGTAATTTCTTTATCGTGAAGGACAAATTAAGAAATTAAGCTTAATATAAAATTAACAGAATTCTTTGAACGGTGACATTTTTGGGTGAAAACTGAATATATCCTAATTATTCACAAGCTTAGAGCAGACTCTTGGCTTTAAATTTGGAAAAAGGTTAAATTACATCACTCTTTGGTATAATCCAAACACACACACACAAAAACTTATTTTCTAGAAATAAGAAATCACGCAAGTTTGCTTTGTGTAAATGGCCACCAACTGTCCCTATACTTAAAGATTTAGAACTATGAATCAAAAATAGGATTTCAAAAACTTATGGGATTCCTCTTTCAGGATGTAAACATGAAAGAAATGTTTTATTTTCTTCTTTATGGAATTAAGAATGACAGAATGACCCAGTTTAAAACTGTACCAAATCTGATCAAATTAGTTTTTTCTTTAAACTGCAGTGTATGACAAAGAGCCTTTACCCAGGGTTCTGTTAGTTTAAACGAGTCCCAAAACAGCCTTTTTCATTGTGCAGACTAGTTACAGCGAGTAATATTGGGCTCACACACCCCGTTAATGTGCCGATGGTGTGTGTCGAGGACGATGAGCGGCTGTCTCTGATCGGGCCGGAGGGCCTAAGTGACATCTGTCTGCTTTGGCTTCTGTTTTACCCCGTCCTTCAAACATAAGGGGCTTGTTTAAGAGGCCCAACGCATGCATGTGTGCGCGACTGTCAGAAGAGCTGCAAGAATTTTTTTTTTAAATATCAGAACTAACAGAGCTGCGTTCAGGGCAGAAACACAGAGGTCCTTGACACCACCTAAAGGCAACACACTCCCACCTTTATGCATTTTATACACACACACACACGTATATATATATATATATATATTGGGGCAGCCCAGTCACACGAAATGTAAAACACATGCACACATCTGCATTTACGCCACAGAAAACAAATGTTCACACACACACCGCCGAAGTCCCACATGTCGACCTTCTGCCTGAGAGTCAGCAGAGGAAACACCCCCCCCCCTTTCCAATGCGAACACCACTTCAGGATCATAGGAGGCGATTGTGCTGCCGAGCTGCAAGCAATGAGGCTCAATTACGCAATTCTCAGAAACAAATTAGACAAAAGCGCCCCTCATGTCTGTGATTATGTGTGCGGAGAGTCTCCAAACAAAAGCGCTTAAAAGGGAAACGAAGGGGGGGGGGGCTCACTCATGGCGTGTTAACCCCTGACCCGCGCACACGCTCACACTACAGACATGACTCTGTTCCTGGACCCTGATTGCTACACTATGTCCCGGACGTTATGAGCCAGCTTACTTTCAGAGGAATCGTCCCATGTTTAAGGATATTAGCTGACTCACTTTTAAACTAAGAGCCTGATGAGAAAATCAATACCTGGAGCTGTGTGCCGGCGAGTTACAGTAGCTTAGCTAAGCATAAAGGCTGAAAACGGGGCGGCAGCCAGTATGGCTGTCAAAAGGTTTGAAAAATGGGCACTCACTGGTAAACAAAGGATGTTTCAGAGTAACAATGGTTTAAATCTTTTCTTCCAAACTATCCTACCACACTGCATGCCTAAATTCCACCAAAAAAAAAAGATAACCGATACAACAGACAGCAGCTCTTGTTCATCAATTGGTCCATTTTCTTCTATTGATATGAGGTCAGGGCGTGGAGGCAACAGGCTAAGGAGGGAAACCCGGACAGCCCTCTCCCCAGTAACACCACTCAGCTCCTCCTGGAGGATTCCAAGGTGTTCCCAGGACAGGCGGGAGGTATGATCCTCCATGGGTCTGATCTTACTACCTTAATGAACCAGAGCAGGAGACTCGAGTCTGGGCCACTTCAGAACAATCTTTAATTAAATGTTTTTTCTTCGCGATCTTATACAGATCCAAAACTTTACCTCATTTGGGTAGGAGAGCTGAAAGCCTTTTTCTTCCTGCTACATTTAAGGTGGTATTTTTTATATCCAAAACTTTTAGCAAACCTTAAAAACCTAAAGGACACCGACAGGTGTGAATTATGTTGAAGTCTTTCGGGGTATTAAGAGACCAGTTAAGTATCTTTGCAGTTGTCGATGTCACTGCGAGGCTTTTTAGTTGAGTTACTTTTAACCAACTTCTTTTTTCCATGAGATGTAAAGCTTGAGGAAATGTTGGTACTTTATTGGTGTTTTTGGTGGAATTAAAGTTATCTGCTGTTTAGATAACAGCGCAGCATCAAGCCTGTGTGTGTTTTTTTAAATTGACTAATTATCTAATTAACCAGTTAAAGCCAATAAAGTGCTGTGCGAGTGTAAGTATCCGTTTACAGCACAGTGCCCTGAGCTGACCGGCCGTCATCACATGGCAGATTACCCAACACAACGATAAAGTGACTGGAGACTGGACTTGTGAACATCTCTGCTTGGAAACAGCATGTGAACACACATGAACTGCACACATCCTCTTAAGCTCTCTTCACATCTAAACACTAACAAAGAGACACATTTACGAAACCCATGCTGTGGCAGGCCTCGACCCTCACTGCCGGGCCTGTGTTCATTCAGCAGGACACACTGCAGGCTCTGTGACACACTATGAAAAGCTGTGTGTGTTGAAACGGACTTGGCTTGGAGTCTAAGAGCAGCTCAACAACAGTGCATTACTTAAAAAAGACCTTCAGACTTTGCTTCCAAACCATAGAGGAAGGTAAAATGTTCGAGTGGTACGTGGAAGTGGAAAATACTGTTGCCTGCCTGTGTGGAGGCTCTGAATCCTTTCCCCTATGAGATATTAGTTTGGGAAGGAGGAGATTAGATTTAGTGAGACAATGCGGCTGCATGCAGTCCCTGTATTCTGCTGGTATCGAATTACTTTAAATTTCACAGTATACTTGACATGTTGCTGTTGGCACTACAGAAAGACTTTTGACACACGACTTAAACATTGGGCAAACTCTCCACTAAGACCCAGACTTTGCTGAAATGAGAAAACACACACAAACACACACACACAGGCAAACCTTAACTGCTGGCAGGTGGGATTTTGCTGCGAAAAAACCGAGGCTGAAAACTAAATCTGAGCCAGAATAAAGTGAATTTATTCCTTTGCTTCCTGTTTTACACTGACTGAGCTTAACAACAAGCGCTGGTGTGCAAATCTGATGACACAGTCTCACATTCTTCAACAAAAAAAAAAATGTAATCTGTGATTCAGTGTGGGAGTAATTCTTCCTGATGAGGATCGGCCTGAGGGACTGACGGAGCCTCAGTGAAGATCAGACATGAAATGCCGTGGGAGGATGTTCTGCCAGAACGCTTGAACTGAGATGATTGTTTTTGGTTGTGACAGACATAAAGGGTTTATTTACAATTATTACACAGACATAATCTGTTCAGGATGGGTTTTCACCATCGACTCAGCTGCTTCCTCTCAGCTTTTAATTTCAAGGAAAAACGTTGTGCTGGAAAGACCCGAGTCAAAACATGCACAAGGATGTTGCTTTGACACTTCTGAGTCCCAGCAGTCCTTTATAATAGCAGGGTCAATTTCAAGATTTGGTATTTCTATTTGGCGAAAACTTACTTGACGTATTAAATGTATTCTCCACAACAACAAACTTGTTGAATTCTACTTATTGGAGTGTGCTACCAGCACTGTTCCCAGCAGACCGCATGCTGGATGTTCAAAGTGCATCTACAAGTCCATTTACCATCACTGGACTCTGTAAACACTTTGTAAACATAATTCCAGATTTATTCAGTCTGTGTATATTATTCCTTCCATGCTGAATATTGTACTTTCTGTCTCAATTATGTTATAACCGATACTGCACAATCTGTACATTCATAAACATGAAAATATGTTTATGTCAGTTCTGTCCTCTGTCCAATATTGTCTCACTCTGCGGCCAACAAAGGACTATCCTATTTCATCACAGTAACCAACATATCCAGAGTCTGTCGGTACATGAAATGCTAACAGTTATGTAAAAGCAAAATACTGATCAGGCTCCCTTCAGAAAATGACAAACGCATATGTCCACAGGCGATGCAATAAGCCTCAAACTGGACTCATCTGTTAGATCGCTGTCACCGGTTCACAGTTCACAGACCACTGTCGCTGAGAAGTCAGGGATTTTAACTCATCCGGGGCCGTATATCTTTTTACCTACAGGAGAATACTTTCCTTATCATTTTCTTTTCTGCTTTTCCAGCAATATCTATTTCTCACATTAGCAAAGATGAGGCTGAAGCAGCTTTACGGGACGGCTCTGATAAAGACGTGTCATTAGTGACACCAGAGCAGCAGCCAAAGTTTTTTTAAAGACAAAACACAGCGCAGCCAAAGCTGCTGCAGTTTGGCGAGTGACGCCGTCCCCCCAGACCGTGTGCCATAAAACCTCTGGACTCGCATGCCGTTTTCCGACAAAACCATCGTTGTCTCAATGACTTGGCTTTTTGTGAGAGAGGCTGATGGACTCCGCCTGTGATTTCTATGTAAAATCCATTGCTTTTTAATATTTTTATTCCTTATTCCTTCTCTTTTTCTACAGACTATGGATTCTTCTTTTCCTGAGTTGATCATAAACACCCTGTGCAGCCAGCAGTTTTTTTTTACCAAAGTGAATCATAACTTTTTAAAAGCTTTGTCATCTGTGAGCTGTTATAATTAAAAAGCTGATTTGTTTTTAGTTTGGCTTGTTAAGTCAGTTTTTAAACTTTAGACTTTCTACTATTGTGCATATATATATATATATATGCAAAATACTGTGATAAGTACAGCCAAGGGATACATTCTCCTTATAAGTATGTTATGAAACATAATTTTACAGCTAATTTCAATGTCATATAACCAAAAGCTGAAATTCAGATAAGGTGTATCTAAAATCAGGAAAGATAAAATTTTATAAAAACAAAACATAATAAAAGTGAAAAGGATATACTGTCTGGATCACATCAAATCCAACCAATTTGGATCAGTCAGTTCAAACAGGCATAAAAATGCTCCTTAGTCAAAGTCCTCATTTCATTTCAACAAAAGATCTAAACTTCGTCGGCACAAACAACATTAATTCAAAGCCATGTGGCTCACAAGAAGTCATTTACATAATGGAGAAAATCTGGCTTTTTCCAAGTGGAGAAAACACTCATTACCAGGGCGGAGAGACATTCACACAAACATCCCACTGTACAAACAGATGCATTCATGTGTGTTTGTGCATTATTTATGTGTGTGCGTGTCTGTGGGTTGCTGCTGCAATTTCACCAAATATTAAAGAGCGGGAAAGTGAGAGGAGGAGAAATGGTTTAATATCGTTGTGTTTTCTTCTCTAATAAGCTGTCTGGATGTCTGTGGGAAAGCTTTGTGTGCACATTCACATTAACACATCTTCAGCGCCGGGTAAAAAGCGGTGTCACCCTCCTTCCCTGTGGATGTAACCTGTTTTTGGGCCAGATATTTCTTTTCTTTTTTCTTTTCCCCTCTCAGCCTCATATGCCTGTAATCTACATAAAAGTTTTTGTTTTTTTTAAATCACCGGCATGGACTTCAAAAGTGTGTGCGCACATGTCTGTGGTGTGAGTGCGTCTTGAGGTGCTGCTCTGTTAATTTCTGGCTTATTACCCTCATTTGTGTGTGTGTGTGTGTGTGTGTGTGTGTGTGTGTGTGTGTGTGTGTGTGTGTGTGTGTGTGTGTGTGTGTGGTTGTGTGTGTGTGTGTGTGTGTGTGTGTGTGTGTGTGTGTGTGTGTGTGTGTGTGTGTGTGTGTGTGTGTGTGTGTGTGTGTGTGTGTGTGTGTATGTATGTGTGTGGTAAAGGCAGGACTCACTGTCTGCTGCCGTGCTGCCATTGGGCAGCGAGCCCAGATCAACAACCATCCCGTCCAGACAGACGTTGAGCTCCCCTCCTGCTACAACCGAGCCTTTGTTCTCCGTCTGCAGCACCAGACTCAACTGGACGTTCTCCACTAGAGGGAGGAAGAACAGACAGGCGGGGAGAGGATGAGTGGTTGAGAAGGTGGAAGACAAAATGGTGGTGAAAGGATGATAGATTGTGTTGGAAGAAGAGAGTGAAGTGAGGAGGAAGGAGTGGGGTCGGGGGGGGCGGGTTGCAAATCAGACATCCCGACACAAAAAAGACTAACAACAGAAAAAAGCTGAAATTGATTTAAAAACAAGTCATTTCTATGTGTCATTATCAACATTTAGATACAATTTTTTTATGCGATTTTCTGCATATTCGGGTTGCATTCACTGTAAGACTAAGCTGTCCACCTCTTCCAAGCTGTAGAGTCCTGTAAAGGTCTGGGGACCTGTTCCTGAGGGAAAAGCAGATTCTGAGCTCTAATGGCTCTTATCACCTGACCCACAGTGGGATGGCCTTTGGGGTGTAGCAGTGCGTTGTGGAGCCGTGTGCATGGCGACCATCAACAGATGCGGTTATATTTTAGAGAAAAATCTCTTCCAGACAGATTTGGTTACTATTCGACATATAAAACCAGTCAGAGTTCTGTGTATATGCATGCAGATGCAGAAAAACTGGTGTGAAAACAGTGAATGACTTAAAAACCTGAAGAGTAAATTAGACTCCTGTCAGGGGACCTTCCTGGTTTTAATTACAGAAATGATCAACTGCCTCAGTTACAAGTTTCGATTTAAGGGTCTGTTAATAAGCTCATCTTCAGAGCGTTGCTCAAACCGCAGCGTTCTCCCGGGAACTAACACACCTTTACTCTATAAAGAAAATAAATCAATGTATCCTCATTGGTTAGAGATGAATATGCAAATTTCTACCCTCTACTCTGTTTAAGTGTGCGGTTCCAGTGAGGCTAGATGTAGATTTAACTTTTCTTTTTGTAACCTTACAATAATCCATTTTTACACAGGCAGTTTAGATTTCCCTCCTTACTGGTTGAATCACCATGTTTGCAGATGTATCCACAACAGGCAAATTAAAGGGTGGATGCAGAGTGGGCCTTCCATGTTATTAGCATCCACTGTCATTTTCCAATTCTCCATTAAAAGGAGGGTGACATGCTCTACATCTTAGAGGCGGTTTCAGTTGTACACACTGGATTATTCTAAAATCAAACCATAGGGAGAAGAGCCCACTTTTTTCCAGGCTGTCTTTTTAATGTTGAACATTCTTTCAGCAGATCTGAGAAATATTTAAAAGCCAATTCTATTTTGTGGGAAGCCTGTTTTGTGTGAGACCCCTGACTTTCGGCCCCAAAAACATTTTTTTTAAACGTTTTTGAAACAGAACAAACGTACAGGAAACCCTTTCAAGAAAAAAACAAACAAACAGGAAATTTGATTGGTTAATCTTTTCCCCCTTCATAACCAGATGAAATTTGCTCTTGGAGGTGGCGATGACTCGACGGGGGCTCGCCTGCACACATCCCGTGTGTACGTAGGAGACCACTGAGAGGAAACACTGTACAGAATGATAAAGTCTGTTTGTGAGTCATTACTTTTGCCATCGTGTGTGCGCAGTGTGTCCAGCAGGTCTATGGTCGCGCTGCCCAGCAGCTCCTTTCTCAAGGTGTGGCAGCTCCACAGCTTCAGATCCAGACGGCTCTGAGGCGTCACATTACTGCAGAGCGGCAACACACAAACGCATTTCAGATGCCACTATAAACTCTTTAAACATGCTGTACAAAATGACTGAACAGAAAAGATAATCATAAAAGCAGTGTGTGTCATGGAGGTGTTTTCTGCCATATTACAGTATTACAGTAAGAGTGGTGACTTTTTATCAAATTCTAAGTCTGTGTATGTGTGTGTGTGTGTGTTGTTCTCACAGGGTGAGGTCTTCGTTCCACTGCAGCTCGAGGTGCCCGCTGCGTTTGCCTGTTTTTTTGGTTTCGCTGGTCAGTCCGTCGGCAGTCACCTCGACGAACGAGTTGAGGCGAGAGTGGCGGTTGGGCAGCTTGGGGGACTGAGGCTTCGCTGACAACACTGCAGACACACACACACACGAGCCAACCGGTCACGGCTACAGTCGACCATGCACAAACAGCAGAAATCACATTTTTCTGTGTGCGCGATCAGGACTTACTGTGCTGTTTTAATGAGAATTGGGGATTTTTCTGTGCTTATGTCTTTAAATCTGCTCTAAATATGAAGCAGTGCGGACATTCGATGTTTAGGTGGTAAACAGTTAGACAAACATTGACCTCTAGTGGAAGACGGAAGATGAGATTAAAAATACAGCGTCAGAATAGCCGATTTTGGGAAACAGGAGGACAGAGTTCAGCGTTAGCCGGCTGGGACCGAAAGCTTCCAGCAGCCTAAAGGAAGAGCAGCTTCTGCCCCGTTCAAGTGTGCTGCTGAGATGACTAACTGCGTCTGCCATTTGAGCCGTCCTGAGCTTCTTTTCCCTCTTTTTTTTGGTGGTTTCCATGAAGTAGTCTGCATTCTGAATTGATGTCTTCTCAGTTGAACTGGGAACGCTTTACGTGAGGTGAAAGCTGGAGATGGACGGGCTTAGTGGTTTCCAATTCTTTCGGGTTGACTGAGCGTCCTGCTACGGCGCGTGTCGGCCCTGCGACAGCCCGAACTCTTCGGCATGAATTAATGCGGAGCCGCAAACTAAAGAGCACCGGGTGCGTCTGAACAGAGCAAGTGGATCAACTAATGATGACAGATTTTTTTTTTTTAAGGGGGAAAAAGGCCTCTAGATGGACTCCTTCCTGACAGAGAGGAGGCGTTATTAGGGGGTCTGCTCTCGTTGAGACAAGTTGATTATCTTTCATCTCCTGAACATCTGGAAAAACAGAAATGACTCACTGCAATCCCAAGTTGCAGAGAAGTGAGACAGAGGTGGAGGGAGGGCTTTGTGTGGAGCAATTAAAGCAGGCTTGGACAGAGAGTGGAGGTGGGAGGAGGAGGAGGAAAGGAAGAGAACAGTGGCTGAAGGCAGATAAGTAAATGAGGAGGTGAACCAGAGCTGATACAATCCACAAGGGGTAAAAGGATTGGCTGTAACTGGGTGTTATTAAAGTATAACAAGACTTGTTTGTCCTTTAAAAGCAAAATATCCAGCTCTTGGAAATTATACGCAACAACCATGGATGATTCTACATCCCACCAGACATTCGTCCTATTTTTTCTTTGGCCTGAGAACCCGCTGACACAGTAAAAAAAAAAAAAACTATATTTAATTGGTCCATCTCAAAACACGTTTAATAAGCTTTATGTGAATGGACGCATCCATTCATACATGCAACAAAAGAAGAACAGACAAGAATCTGACAGGTTCCAGTTTGTTTGTGTAAATAAATCCTTATATATAATTTGTTTCCATTATATCATGGCATGGCTTGTGTAATTGTTATGATGATGCTATACAGTCGTAAAAAACTGTCCTGTTTGTGTAGATGGTGTTTCTGTGGCCTGTAGTTCTACAGTTAACGCATTGGGAGTTATTTTTGCCTCTGAAGAGCCTCCTGCTGATCCGAAATGCTGCAGTCAGACTTCTGATGAAAACCAAAAATAGAGGCTTTTTTTCTACAGTTTTAGCTTTTCCTTACTGACTCCCTGCTAAATTCAGAACAGAATTTAAAGTTCTGCTCCTCACGTATAAAGCTCTATCGTAACGACTGATTTACAACACTGGAAAACACCTGAATTATAAACCTAAGAATCAAGGCTAAAAAGCAGGCCAGGAGTGTGATTTAGTGGTCTCTGAAAACATCTAGAATAGATTCTAAGATAAATTCAAATGTCATGTCCCGTTAATGCTAAATAATAGTGAGCTCCCCCTGAAAAAAGCTCTGTTATTCTCCTCTGTGGGTTAGCTTAATGGGTAAATCTGACTAATAGTTTAGAGCAGAAAAAAAAGAAAAAGAAAATCAATATGACTTGAATGTGCAGTAAAGATTAAACTGAACTTGCCTGGAAGCACTAGAAGGAAGAAGTTGTAATTGAGTGTCACATTGAGGAGAAATCTGTGAAAACATTTCCTAATAGGCTGTCAGAGGCCCACAGCTGGAGCCAATCTCCTCATTTTAATTGATGCTCGTGAGCTGGGTGTGAATACGGCTGATAAATCCGGGCAGAAAATGCTGGTGCACACGTGTTGCCTGGAATTTGGGCGTCTGCATTAAGTAAGGGCGGTACGGGTGTGGACATTTTCAAACTAATTTGATGCATTTCCAAGCACATATTAACGATTCATGGTCGGTGTAATGAGAGAAAAGAATCACAAGTCTGAGGCTTTCGCTGGAACACATTATACACCCCCAGTTAGTCATACTTCCCACCAGGAGTGGTAAAGCTTCACCAAAACATTTTCTTCTAGTGACAAAGACACCACAGATTAAAAAGTGTGGTGAGGTGTTGCTAATGCGAGCGATGGGTGAAATGGGGGAAGGAACCCAGAGAGTGAAAAAGCCTTTGGGTTTCATGACTAACACAAAGTGTGAACGAGATAAAACTCACGCAATGTGTAAAATCTGCCTTGTAAATATCTAGTTTTTGAGAAGAAATTAACTGTGTTGGCGGCTTTCTGCCCAACCTGGACAGACCAGCAAATAAACTCAGAACTGTCAATCAGAGATTGATTTCATTGGGGATTAGTTTGCTTTATAAATCATGAATTTCGCTTTACAGAAACAGCACACCACAACCAAACCAAAGGCCAGATTAAGACTTTGACTTTAACACACAAACGAAAAAACTTGTTCAAACTGATCTGATTAAATTTACCCACAAAAATGTAGCCGTTAATTTGAAGTAAATACAATTAGGATAGAAATCCTCATGAAGGATAAGTTTTAGTTGAAAAGAAACCATTCAAGATAATTCGAAGTACAGTAAAACCGTTATATACGAATTTAATTTGTTCCAGGACCTACTTCATATGCTAAAATATTCGTATGTTGGTTCAAATATTCCCATAATTGGTATAAGTCGTTCCACAGCCCAAAAACCTAAGATAACTCCTTAATAAATACTGCATTACACATAGCAATAAAATAAATGCATTATATAAGTGAGATGTAAAAAGAAATAAATTATAAAGAAATAATCAATAAAAGGGGGTTTTACCTTAGAGACTGGTGAACGGAGGTAGAGGTGGAGACTGAGATACGGGACGTACCCTAACTTACTCTAACTTTCACTACGTGAACTTTAAACTAACTTGTTTATTTTTTCTATTTTTTTCTATGACTGTATGTTGGAAATTTACTTCGGGTGTCGAGTTGAATATTTGATCGAATTTCACTTTGGATGTTGGAAAAATGTGTATGTTTAGACAATCGTAGTAGAGGCTCTGCTGTACCTCCCCATTTTGTCAAACTGGTCAATAATGTGACAACAACAAAAAAAGAATAAAAAATGAGTTACCTTTTAGGATCAGTTGAGATTTCTCTGCTGTCTGGGCACTGCCAGGTCGGGTCACGCTGGCAGCTGCCATGACATCACAGCTCTGTAACACCAGCACAAACGCACACAACATTACCCCCAAAGTGTCACTGCATCCGCAGCACCAGCGCCTGGAAGCCAGGCACTCCTCCCAACATGAGTATCTCTGGTGAAAGTCAGAGTGAGTGGTGCCTGCTCAGGATTTGAGTTGTTTAAGCTCTAAAGCAAATTATCCCCCCCAACCCATTTCCCTGCATAAATATATAAACCGTAGATGTGTCACTATTGTCCATCAGTGCCACTTTCACACCGCTGGTCCTCTCTGAAATATGCAAGCGATTTACTAGTAAACCAAAACATTTCAGGTGCAAACAGGAAAATCCAGCGCTGTCCTTTACAATGATCCCAGCATGAATATAAAGAGGAAACTTCTGGAAGTCCTCGGGGCTTCATAGTGAGACATGCTGAGACGTTGTTCCTTTTGCATCCAAGTTTATTAAACGTGCGTTAGCCAGGCCCAACTTAATATGCTGTGCCACTCACATCTGGCTGGGACTCACGTCGAGTCATGACGAACCCTATAAATCTGCACCAAATGTGCAGATGTGTTCCTTCTCTCTCCCTGTTGTTTCTACCCACCGACTGTCATAAATCTGATGATTCAACTGATCAGTCAACATTAGTACATCGAACTTCGGGGAATGTGTTCAGAAAATCTGCAGGAAATATTAGGATTCAGAAAGTAAACAGAGGAAAATCTACATTAAATATCTTTCTTTTCTGAGTCCTCTCTTGGGAATTTAATGTAATGTATAGGTGTGTCACCCTTTAAATTTTATGTGACAATATCAAGACAGAAGCGTTTAATGAATTAAAATCAAGGCTGATAACTCTGGCGCACTTAAAAGCCCAGGCTAATGTATGCCACTCACAGCAGAGGTTTGTTCCCCACCATCAAAGGCAGAGAGAGCCAAGTCCCTATAAACCTCACCTTGATCAAAGTCAGAGATGAGGTCTGCAGCCTTTCAAAGCAAAGCAAGCCGCAGTCCACTGCAGAGCTAAACTCTGCCCTGACGCTGTCATCACCCTTACTTATTTCTGTGTGCACCAGGGGAAATCTTAAACCTATGTGCGTGGCTTGAGGAAAAAAGATCCTCATCCTATTATCTGTAACTTCCCGCAGCACCAAGGTGACTGCAGCTGGCGTCTGAGCCCGAGAGCTGACCAGCCCCGGACTGCGAGGCCAGATGCGTCCAGCTGGAAAGCAAGGGAAATAATGAGGTGTTGGGTACACTAAAAAGCCACCTGAGGTCCGTCTCTAAGCAGCCGATGGGGCGATGAGAGCTATCCCAACAAAAGCGCGCAGCATCAACCTTGTGAATCGAGAGGAGCGGAGCGCTTCATTCAGTGCTTGGGCGGTGGCTTCGCTCCATTTAGACAAATCAAGATTACACCACCGCTGCTAGACTGATTTATTGCCCCATTATTGAATAACTTTGCCTTCCGTCTCAAAACACAAACACGGAAGATGGTTGAGGTATTTATGTGCATCACAAAGTCAAGGGGAAGCTAAGAAAACACTACAACTTCCGGTTATTATTTTCAAATTAAAGACCACAGCCCATCTGTGGCGTAAAAACATTAGGGCATTGAGCCATGATCGATTTATAATTTTATATGTGCAAACCCAAAACAAAAAGGTAAAATTCACACTTAATTTAAGAACCAGCAAACGAGTTAAATCAGAGGAAACTAGTCCATGACGTACAGCTCAAATCTCACATTTAGCCAACGACAAGACATTCAGCGTAATTCAATCATGTAAATTATTAAATTGTAAACTTTTAACAATAAAAAGCGAGGTTTGTGGGGTTTGTTTTATTTTGCTTTTAAAGGGGGCTCGCGGCATGTCCGTTACAACGCTGCTTAATGTAGCTTATTGACGTAGGGGATGCTAATTGTTAGCCTGCGAGCTTCGTAGCAGGGTTTTACGAAAAGGACACGTAAGAACAACCTATTCTGAACACCTGAGACATCATAGAGCTGCATTTACAATAACCCACTTCATGTCAGAATACATCTGATGTATTGACACGCCAAAAAATGAGCTATAAATGTGATCATCTTCGTACCTTTCTCGGCTGTGGTCCACCGTTGTCGTTAGTGAACTTTCATTTCCGCCTCAGTGACAAAACCACGTGACCATGGTTTATTTTTCTCATTGCACAAAGGATTGTGGGCCATAAACACTGATAAACAAAATCGGAGATAAATAATCTTTTTTTTTTCATAGATAAGACACATATTCAATGATACAGTTATACAGACATATAGACAATATACATATATATTTCTATATATAATGATACTTCATAATTATGTTATTTATATTATTTAGATATTATTATTATTATTATTCAATCTATTTTTTCAACCACTGTTCTAAAAATAGATTGATAATTGACATATATGTATATATATAATATAGTAATGGATCAATTGCAGGAGTGAGACGTCCTTGAAAAGATTTGTGCCGTCCACTTTGACAATTAAGGGTTAAAAAATGTTTACTCTCCATCAATTTTCTTTTTGCTTCATCAGTTACAATAATGACTGACTGTGCATGTTAAATTGAATAACAAACCAAACACACAGCAATGTCTGAATGAAATGCTTATTTTATTGAGCAATCTTTTGTAAAGACCACTAAAAAGTCCCATGGAGGAATACCATGCAGCAGCCTGTTACTCCAGAAGGGGTGGATTCTCGCTATCAGTCTGTTCTGGTTGTCGAGCTCTTCTCCTGAACTTGATTCTCTTCCTCCACCACGGCTTTCTTTTCTTTTTTCCTTGAAGCTTACCAAGCTCATTAACCACCCACCTCAGGTCACTCAGGGTCCTATTTTGATCTCTCAGTTCTTGTTCCTTCTGGATCCTTTCAGTGTCATCTCTTTCCTCCATCTCTCTAAGCCTTGTTTGCCAGCTAACCTGTATTTGGGTGAGATGCTTCCCATAATTCTCCTCCAGATTAACACACTTGAGATTCCATTTTTTCTCAAACTCAATGAATTCCTGCTTAAACTGGTTCAGCAGTGCCACAGCTTTGACATGCTCCTCTCTGTCATTCTTGAATTTGTTTATCAAGATGGATATTTGGCTGGTCTTTTCTTGAATAGTCTGCTCCAGCTGTTCTTTCTTACACCCCCAGCTGATCTGGTCTGCCTTTATATCATCCAACGCTGTTTTGCACTCCCTCAATTCTTTGTCCAGTTTTTGAATGAGCGACTCAGCATCAAACACCCTCTTCTTGTAAAAACGTATTTCTTCCAGCTGCTCTCTTGATCCTCTAAAGTCTTTCTTCTCCTCCTCCAGGATCCGAACCCTTTCCTCCAACCACTCCCTTTCTGCCTTTATCTGGCCATGACGGAAGCTCAGTCTGGCATTCTCCTCCTTTATGCTCCTTATTTCACTACTCTCATAATTCACATCGAGACCCAACTCTTGCTGAAGACGGTGGCTGTGTTTAAATGAGGCAAAATCTTCTTTTAACTGAGTTCTGTCTTTCTCTTTTGCTCTTTTTGACACATTAATCTCTCCTTCCTGTTGATGGCTGTTTGACTCAGAAACTGGGGGTTGACTTGTGGATATTCCAGCCAATGCCTGACCCTGGAGTAGGGCTGTCTTCTTCTCTTGGAAATCTTCCGACATCTTCTTTATCATGGCCTCCATCTCCTCTTTATCCTTTTTGGTTTGAGCGTGAAGGATTGTGAGCTCCTCCAGAGCTTTGGAGGTTTTGACGTCGTTCTTCCTCAGCTTTGCGTTCTCCTTCTTCAGAGAGTCATTTTCTTCTCTGAACATTTTATGTTCTGCCTGTTGAAAGCTGATAGCAGCCTTCTCCTTCTTCAGAGAGTCATTTTCTTCTCTGATCATTTTCTGTTTTGCCAGCTGAGAGCTGATGGCAGCGTTCTCCTTCTTTAGAGAGTCATTTTCGTCTCTGATTATTTTCTGTTTTGCCAGCTGAGAGCTGATGGCAGCGTTCTCCTTCTTTAGAGCATCATTTTCGTCTCTGATCTTTTTATGTTTTGCCAGCTGAGAGCTGATGGCAGCGTTCTCCTCTTCCTTTATTCTGAGACTTTCCTGAAGAGAGAAAATGTTTTTCTTCACTTTACCCCTAACTTCTTGCATTTCTCTCTCAGAAGTCATCATCTCTTCTTCCATTTGGTGGCAACGAGACTCAACGAGCCCCATCTTCCCTCTGAGAAGGTTAAGTTCACTGAGCTGTTCATCGCACAGTTTTTGCAAGTGCTTTATCTCCTCCTGGACAACATCTTTAATTCCTATCTCCATCCCCTCCTTTTCCTTAATGATCCACGTCAGTCGATCATTTTCCCTCTTTAGGGTGTCATTCTCAAATCTCAGTCTCCTGATGGCATCCTGAGCTGAGAGAAGAGCCCTGTGGAGGGGATCCAGCAGTGACTTGGGATGAGACTGAGCTTCATCAGAGACCTCCTGCCACTCGCCATCTTTGTTTGGTGGAAACAATGGTGCTCTGCACACTCCGAAAACCGGCTGATTAGATGTGCACTGAGAAGGCTGAACACAGGCAGAAACAATGAAACAATGAATACAGACACGAGCACAAATGTTACATTGTTTTTAAAAAGTGTGAAAAGATTAAAAGGCCAATGCATAACAGCATGGTGCACACAATCATTTTTAAACAGTTTAAAAACTTACAGAAAGGACCTGGTCCCTCAACCCTAAACCCTCAGGCGGTCCAGTTAGGACTTAAAGAAAGTTTTAAAAACTTACAGAAAAATCCCTGCTTTACGATTTTAGAGCTAACCAGGGTAGGAGTCAGAGCAGAATTTAGTTTGAAAGGTATTCATTGTAAAAAATTAAAAAACGAATTAAAAACACATGTTGATAGTGCTTTTTTCATATTGTCAGTATATTACATTTACTCATCAGTGCAGATTATTTTTTAGATATGGGGATGTGAGCTGGATTCAGCTTTCAGAGTTTTATGACTCCTGTTTCCTCACCTATGCACATATAATTTATCAGTGCTGCAAGAAGAAAAAAAGGTCACAGAGAGACTTTAGGAAACCTTACCTCCTGCATATTGTCATTGCTTCCTTCCATGTTGGCTTTTTGATGTGTTTTGAGTAGAGTTAAAATTCTAAGATCTATAAAGGCATGTTGTGCTGTGATGTCACGGTTTATTCTAGAATCCCCAAAGCCTGTTCCGTGGAGACTTTTGACACCAAAATGGTGGAAATGTCTTTTTCAGTAACACTGAAAGATGCAATTATGAAAACAACTTGCATTCACTATCAACAATGGGCCACTACAGGGGAACATTAATGTCTCCTGAGGTATATTCTCAATTTTCTCCCTGTGAGACAGCCAGTGAGGGCTGGCAAAGTGATATTCTAAGTTTTGGATTGGGTAAAACATCAGGAATTCCTCACACAGAGAAACTAAACTAAGGCATGTAGAAAAAGATTCAAGTAAAGACCATCTTCTGCTTAAAGCAGAGACTTTAACAGGGAATTCCCATCATTTTCTCAATGTGAACCGAGAATTCAGGTGTGGAGTAGGCAGACATCATGGCCAGAAACCCACCGCGGTGTATCCGACTTGATAAATCTCCTCTTCTCCCCAAACCTGAACTTGTCAACAAATTTCACAAACAAATAGGTCCTGTGCTCACACAAAATAACCAAACACAGCAGATAAAACCAAAAACTAAACCAAAATCAGCAGTTTATTATGGATGCATATTATTGGGTTGTACACAGCAGCAGCACTAGATGGAGACGGCCCGTTAATGAGCCAACAGGAGCGCAGCCGTTAGCAGGTGTGCTCTGTTCCCCTTCAGCAAAGTCATCCTCAGATATAATATAACAGGGTCACGGGAATCTTTCAGGGTTTTTTCCACTCATCAGCGAAGCGGAGGGGGGATCTCGGCCGTTTGTGGCGAGGCTTTGGCCATGGCTCTGATGTAGTGGTCGTGAAAGTAGGTGGTCACGGCCAGAGGAGGGCCGAGGAGAAGGCACAGCCAGACCAAACCGTTGCCATAGTTTCCCTGGAAGTAGCCTCCGAGGAAGACTTCAACCAGGAGCTGGAAGGAGGAATCCCAAAGTTAAACACTTTAAACACTGGGTGTCTTTTCTGCCCAACCTGGCGCTGTATTCTCACCCCAATAAGCATCATGAGAAGGATCCACAGACGACAGCTGCGAAGGGGCAGAGCGATCATGAACTGTTTAGAGGACAGAAACACCACAACAGTTTATTGGTGCTTAAATTTGTCTATGAATACAAAAAGATTTACAAAGGACAAAGATTGCTCCTGTTGAATGCTCCCACTCAAAAAAGTTGTCTTTACTTTTTTTGTCAATTTGTATGGCTGTTTTAGAAATCTTATTTTCTCACATTAAGAATTGATTTGTAACTTCCATTTAAAAACACATTTGGTTAATTTGGAAAAGATTAATTTTCCCACGTGGGTCACTACAACATTTAATATATTTATTTAAGAGCTATTTCAACACCATATTGATGTTTCATGACTTCTTCTGGTGGGAATTTTAAGGATTTCAGAAGCTGTTAGTAATATTCAGTGCTATTAAACAAAAGATCCACAAGAGGGCGCTGTTTTGGTTGGCTGGAGCATCAAACTTTACCTCACAGAGAGCCGCAGACATCAGGAAGACTGCCAACTCAGCCAGTGATGGGGGGATATTCCATGCCACCAACTGTTTGTACACGTGCCTTAAAACACAATGTGGGAGGAAATTAATAAATAAAATGAGGCATTCGCTTCCCTGGACCAAACAGGTCAAGTTCAAAATGTTAACATAAAACACCTGTGACTCCATTTCTGAAGGGGGATATTCCAATTATTCCAGAAACTCCTCAAAGTTGTAGCGTTCCTGTACACAAAAGAGCAGTTCATGCATGCAGCTGCCGGCATTTACGACCTCAGTTCTGAAAAATGTGCTTTTTTTAATTCAACTGACCACCAGTCTCCGTAAAAATGCCGATCGCCAAAGCAAAGCAGCTCTGCACAGAAGTTCAGGAAGGAGTGGCTCAAAAAGGAGAAGAGGAGCCAGAGGAAGTGGGCCGGTGCCTGATAAGAAGAGGATCACGTCACACCTGGCAGATGTTTTTGTGCGTTTACTGTTCTGTATTTTTAAATCTTTTTCGTTCCCAAATATTACTGAAAACTATCGCAATTTTGGGGATTTTGCTAAGGTATTTCAGAATATTTATACACATTTATATTTTAGTTGTTTTTTTCTATATTTATTTCAATATAAACACTTTCAACTTTTTTAAATCCGATTCTGTTTAGTTCACTGATCTTTTTCATTAGTTTGTGCTACAGAAAATATAAAAAATGATAGTAAAAAAATCAAGATCCCTCACCACCAAGTCGACTAGGTGGTCCACTCTTGAGGTGACGTCCATACTCTGTAAAAATAAAAAAAAAGGCAAAAGGAATAAATTCCTTAAGATGGAAGATGGATTTTTTGTTTTTTATTTTTTTCACTGTTCACAAGGACTTCTGTTCAACTCACAGCGAATGAGTTTTCTGATCTCTGGAAGATTGGCTCAATCCACTACAGTTGTGAGAGATTAAAAGGATAAACATCTGTGATGAGCATCACAGTTTTTTCCCAGCTAACTGAAGCAAGGATAAAAGTTAAAAACATTCAACTTGCATACTTTCTGCACAGGATATAACAGAGTGATCTTACAGAAACCGAAGATGAACTATATTCTGATGCACAATGCTGTCATGAGCAGAACCTTGACCGGCTACAGTACCTGCTGCACAATGCCCACCATAATCTGGATAACAACCACCTAAAGTGGGAAAATAAAGAGAAGATTATGTTGTCATTCCTTTGAAGTAACATAACAATTAAAACACAAGAAAAGACATCCCAAAAGTGATGGAAGAGCAGGAGAAAACCTTCATAACTGCCTTTGAGGAACTTTTGTGAACACTGCTAATGCTGTTACTATATTGATTTATTCAGGAAAGAAGGTGGAACCAGAGTGGATGAACATTTCTGCCTCTCAAAACTGACCGTCTCCAATTTATGGGCTGCCAGTCTAATAAATTATCCAGCTTCACAATGAGACCATTTTCAGCCATCATGGCATCAATTACGAGCTGATGGTGTCTTTTAATGCAACATAAAAGCTTCATCTTTGAAGGCACTCACCATTTCCAGCAGCCTGTGCAGCAAATTATTGATGCGGACCTTCGGAGTCCGGGGGAAGCTTCTCTGGTAGCACAAAGTGGGGGCAAGTAAGAAATAATACAGATCTGAGAAATCAAAGACAAGAAGGAAATACTTCATAAGGAGCCAGTGGGAGAAATAAAACATCAGCTAATGGAGAACAAGCAGCCTCACCTCTCAGAGTCAGATGCTCATTGTGGCCTTCATGTGCAACACATCCGTCTTTTTCTAAAAGCAGAAAAAAAGAGAGGTGGTTGCAGTTTACCGTCTTTTCCTGAGGTGGTCTCAGAGATATTGTTGCTGGAGCAGACGTACCTGAATGAGCCAGACGGTACCAGCGGTTGGTTTCCTGGTATGAATAAAGCTTGAACCCCAGAATGGCGTAGAACCAAAGAAAGAAGTACGCTCCACCTTGTGGACCAAAAAAGGAGGGAAAAGCTCACTAAAATGAGCTGACTCGGACCAAAGTTACTGAATAGCTGCCCTTCTTAGTCCAATGTAAAAAATGATATGGACATATTTTAAATTTTGAGGATTGATCGATTAAGATAAGAAAACTGAACGTGTCACTTGGGGGTCCTCAAGGTTTTTTTCACCTGTTGATATTCTGGGTTCGTGTACAATGACGGCAGCAGGAAACAGCACGACCAGCCCCAGATTGATGCGATGCAAGCCACGGCCAACGGAGAGAGAGAGCGCTCCCTGATGGACAGAGGGATTTGAATCATTTTAAGATGGTTTACAGCAGTCCTGCAGGTTTAAGATGTTCCCCCTGGTTCAAACACAACTGAATCTGAATCTGAACAGAATCTGCCTTTGGTGCATTGATTTGAACCAGGTGTGTAGAAGCAGGAAAACATCCATATGATGTGGAGGAACAGAGTTAGACATCCCTGATTTAAGAGGGAGATTGTCTGTTTTGAAGAGGAAAGTCAAACCTTTTCCTGAGACTTCTCCAAGTACAGAGCTGTCAGGGCAAAAACGTTGGCAGCTGGAAGAAACACAGGAAAGAGAAGTCCAGTTGCCTTTACCAAAGTTCTTCCGATGACCATGACATGGATGACTGAGGACACAAACCATCCTACACCTCATCTGGCATTAGCTGATCTAATTTATTTCATTTTATATCAACTCAGTGCTCCAGATTAAGCCGAGCCTCTCACCCAGGATGAGGTTCACCGATGGCCAGTTGCAGTTGTCTTCGATCAGATGACCCAAAACCTTTTTGCCATCTATCAAAAAGCCATGTCTGTTAGCAAGAGTCGAAAAATGGGAAAAGTCAAACTGATTTATAAAGAAACTGCTTCCATAAATGTTTGTTTCACATGAGATGCTGGTACAAACCAGCCACAACCAGCTCTGCAGACTTTTTTCCCCATCCATCTTTAGGCATTCTCCCACTTTAACGGTTGAAAATGAATGATGTGGCCAATCTCATCATTTATTTGAAGTTTCTTGTGTAAATTGTGACAATCTTCAACTTTTCACCTCAAAATATCGTTAACTTTAAGACAACTGATCTTCAGCTGCTGTACGAACATTTTTAATATTAAAGACTTGAGAAACTAAAGTCACCTACTTTTTTAGTTTCTTTCCATGACAATTTAAACTATTCGTTGAGTTTATTAGTACAGTAAATCCATAAACTAAAATCTACTGTTGAGGGTAATAAGATGCTAAAATTGTTTAACCCCTTTAAAACCTGATAGAAAAAAAAATAGAGATTTTTTGATGTTGTTTAGAAGTTTTTATTTGGCCCTTTAACAAAATAAGGGAAAAAAACAGAGATAATTTTTGTGCAATAAGTCATTTATATTGTGACGTAGTCTTCCGCCTGCTGTTATCAGGCATATCTGACCGTGCACCGCAGGGTTTTGAGCAAGGTTTTTACCTCTAAATGATGCAAAAGTTCTCAGATGCAAAACATTTCAGAAACCGTGCGTTTCAAATGTGATACACATAGCGTTTTAGGGCTAATTCACAACACTGCTTCAGAGGCTGATGTGTGTTAAAACAATAACATGTTAATACGTGTACAAGCTTTAAATGTGCAGGTATGGAGTAAAAATACACCTCTTTACACTCACTGTATGAAATTCTCTAAGAACAGGTGAGCATGAGTCAGGACCTGAAGGTAGGAAAGACACACATGCAGTCTATGAGAAAGACCAAGGACATATCAGCACGAAAGGCTAAAACTCATCCCTGTCTCAGACAATCAGGCGGAGGAGGTGTGAAACTGACCAGGAGGATGATGATCCAGTTGAGGACGCCTCTGTATCCTGTGAAGCTGCTGTTGGAGCTCAGCAGGGAGTCTTGGACGCTGTGGCAGCTGCACAGAAACCTTAATGTGACAACAGTTCTATCCTTCTGATAAATAACTTTTTAAAGAGAGTTAGAATACTATTACTCCCAACCTCATTTTGAGAGTGATTCACCCACAAACTGAACTGTGAGAGGGATTTTTTCAGGTCGCAAAATGATTCTCATCGTTCTAATATCCGCGTGTTAATACAATGCCTTCAGAGGTTTTGAAGAGTAGATAAAAAATGTCTTAATTTTCACCAAATACACCAACATGATGAGCAGATGACGGATGTTGTAACACGGGTTGGTGGGGGGTCAGAGTACTCACCACAGCATAGAAGCATAAGGGTGTTCGTATTCATCCGGGGGGGCAGAGGCAGAAATGGAGGCACTTTCCCAGAGACTGGCCCCGTCGTCCTCAGCTGAAGAGGAAGAGAAGCTCTTCTTCATCACTGCCGTCTGGTTCTGAGGTCTCATCCAAAAGAAAGAATTTAGGAGATTAAGTCCACTTTAAAAGTTAAGTAGTTTGATATAACCCTAACCCTTTTAACTGTTATACCAGATTTTAAAGCTAAAACATCATAACACCAGAAAAAGTTTCGGTTTTATTTATCATGTAAATTTTTAATTAGAGGAGAGAAATAAAACAGGGAAAACAATTAAAAACACTATGAACCATCACTTAAAAATGGAATTTTGGCTGAATGCATATTTTCTAAAGTTTGTTTCTCTTTATTTTCTTACCTTATATAAAATATGTAATCACTGTCATTCGTGAAACATTGACATACCAGATCCATAGTAATAAAATTGACTTTTTTGGTCTTGTTACAAGAAACAACTCAAACCAAATTCCCATTGTAATCTAACGTTTTAAATAAAAGAAGAGCAACATGTCTGATTTATTTCAGTGTTGATATAAATTTAAATATCAAGCATGCTTGCTATATATGTAGAAACGCTACAAATATATATATTTAAATTACATCAATATTTTGTGATTTATTAATGGTGCATTTACTGCTGCCGTTCGGTGGGAAACGTGCACGCCGAATTTAACAGCTGTTCCAGATAGTTTAAAATAAAAATAGTAGATGTGTAATTTTACCTAGAGCACTTGAAGTGAATCGGGTGAACTTTAAATATCCAGAAATCCGAATGAGGATCTGTGTGACCTTCCAAAGAAGACAAAAAAGGCTGACCTCATCGTCCCTGGCGTGATAACAGCGTCGTCGCTGGCACGTGTCATCATCATCATCCTCACCAACATTACAAATGACAGCCGCCCCGAAGGTTATCTAAAATTTGCTTTCCTTTAGCAAACACAGGCTGGCGCTCATTTCTTCCTTTTCATTTTGGTGACTTACTGATGCTTTGTATGCTCCACATTGTCGCGGTTTTAGCTAAAAAGCGCCACCTGGTGGCAGCCGGCTGCCAAACTCCTCACTCCTTTTGTGTGAATATTCCTGAGATCTTCAACCAAGCTTGATTTATGTGACGACAAAAAATAAACTATTCTCAATGCTTTTATACGAAATATTGAATACATTTCAGTAAGCATGTACAATGCTCTTTTCCTGTTATCATTTTACATAATTTCTCCACATATAAAGTTGGATTCTTTAGCAAATGTGGATGGAAAGGGTTGCTATATACACGTGTCGGGACCTTTAGAAATATATTCACTTAAAAAACATGTGACATGTTTCCCTCCCATTTTGTCATTTTAAACACACAGAATTTCTTTTCATTTGATTAAATTTTACACAGAAATTAATCTCAAACCTGAAGTGAACACCAACATAAAATAACTTTAATGAGAGAACCCCAAACGTCTGAAAAACAGATTTATTCAAAAATGGACGTTAAACTACATATTCATTTAACAGTCTATGAAACTTCCTTTTCTCTGTGAAAAACAGCATCACAGATTTTGTTGCAGACACTGCCGTTATAATTTTACTGAGACCTGAAAAATACACATAAAGACAAACAATAATAGTTACTGATGAGCTTTTAATAGGTTAAATCAAATCTCAATAAGTCTGACGCAAATTAGAGATGGCACATGGAGCCTGTGGAAGGAAAACTGTGAGTGCTCTCCGTTAGAGCGCGGCCTTCAGTTGATGGTGAGCACGTCGCTCTGGATCTCGTGGCTCAGTTGGGTCTGCAGGTCGCTTAACTTTTTCTTGAGGACGGCCAACGCCGACATGACGATGGTCTCCGGCCGAAGGGAGCCGCATGACTCCACGTTGTAGTAGAACCTGGGTGGAGAGGAACCTCACATCAGCTCAGTGTGTGAGTTTTTAAGAGCTGCAGATTGAACATTTCTATATGGCATCTATGTTAATAAGCCACACACCTTTAAATGAGCCCATTTAGTCAGGCAGCAACAGCAACCCTTTAATGCTGTGTGTTTCATATTTGACTCATAGATTTCAGACACCTATACATTTTGTTTAAAAAAAAAAAAAAAACTGAAATATAGAATTAATGATGCTTTGTTTGGATTTTAGTAGAAAATATTGATTAAATTGCATATATTATTTTATGTTTTGTTAAAATAAATAATAAATAAAGAAGCAAAGAATATTTTTTATCAGTTTTTTCTTGGCTTTAAATAGATGGCTGTAAATAGATCTTCAAATAGCCAGGATACTAAACAGCTTTGTGTTTGTAAGGTTCTACAGCGATGGCACACTTTTTTTAATGTAAAGCCTAAAAACCTATTGATCAAAAACACAAAGAAAGTAAGATTTCAGAGCTAAAGCTCATGGTGGAACAGCTGCTCACCTCTCCGGCTTTCCGTTGGGGTCATAATGAGCCTGGGCCTCGTCTTCCTCAATCTCAGAGTACTCGCTCTTTGGCCTGAGGCAGAAGGCACTGTTCAGAACTGTAATCGGAGGCCCTGCTTCAGGGCCGGCCCCGCTGGCGTGCAAACACCTACCACTCCTCGGGCCGGGGGTACACCGTGTGCCTCAGGGCGTTGTCCGGGTCGTACTCGAAGGACACCCCTGCAGTCGGGTTCCACTTGGCGTGCTCCTTACCGAAGCCTTTCTTGGCGTAAGCTCGGAGCCGCAGCTCCTGACCTTTCCGGAGCTTCACCAGCAGAATGTCTGCGTTGGGGCGCGCAGACAGAGATGAGGAGGTCAATTCTGATGAAAAGGGTCAAGCAGACTCTGAAAGGGGACAGTTTGAAGCCTACCGTCCTGCTCCACGTAGTCGTTTGGATCGTTGTCTCGGCTTCTGGACGTCACCTGGGGAGCAACAACACCACACGGTCAGAACGGCTTTCTGCCTCCCCTCCATGTGTGCGACTTCGGGAGCGGAAGGAAAGACCCACTGGGATGACTCTGGGGTTGTTGGACAACAGATCGCGCGAGGTGACGTGACGCGTCTGGTCTTCTGTGCACCGGACGTCCAGGGTCAGCTCCACTGAGCACTCCGGGCAGAAATCATCGCAGGTGCAGTCCTGCAGGAGCAGCCGGAGCCATTTGAGCCAAAGTGCAAAACCCCCTTACTCAGATTTAAAACACCGGCCGGACTAAATGGCCAAAATTCACTTTCGTGGTGCAGCTTTGATAATCTAAGAGCTGCATACTGACACATTACAGGTGCTGATAGCAGTTAAGAAGCACTCAGCAGCCAATCAAATTCCACTGTGACCCATTTCTAGGGTAAATCAGAAAAGATCATCTCTGTCTCTGTCTTTTAGCAAATAATCCAAACATTCAGTGAGTGAGTGAATAGTGAGAGTTAACACATACTCTGGAGTACTGCATCTTGTCCACAATGTCGTCGCTGGTGAGCGGGATGAGGCCTGACAGAACAGAAGGTCTACCATCAGTCCCAACATAAAAAAAAATAAGGGATAAATCTGCCGTAAATAGGGGGAGAAAAAACTGCCGGCGAGATACGAACCGACTCTGTGCGCGATGAACTCATCGTGTAGCACCGACGAGTTAGCATCAATCTGAATCCAGTCAATTGCTGGAAATAAAAGTGAGGCAAGCTTCAGTTACGTTGTTTGGCCTGTATTACATTGACACAAATGCAGAGAAGCAACTTCCTGTGTCGTTTTAGGCTTATTCAATAACTCCAACCTTCTATAACTGATTTGTCAGAGGAGTTTGGACACACTGTAAAAGTTTCATTTAAAAATGTGTAAAAATGGCATAAAAAACTCAGATGAACAGTGAAACTTTTCATTGGTATAAAAGTGAACTGTATACGAACCAAAATACCACAAAGCCTAAATCTTTTTTAAAAAATTTTTATGTACAATCCGACTACAAACTGAGTTCTACTAATCCCAACAGTGTTACAGCACAGATATGACAACATTACTCAACCTATTGTGGGAACTTCTGACATGAAGACACGACGGAGAGAATTTGCCACCCTAAAAAAAGGAAAATGTTTTATTATATGAAAAGAGAATACAAAAATAAATAGATATAAAGCAAACCTTTAAAATCCATTTAAATTCAAACCAAATTTGAGACTTTTCTGGGGTGACGTGCACGAAGAAGTCTAGTATCTCTCTGTCCAATACAACTTAAACTGATGTAAACCTGTACATTGGTAATCTTTTTAAATTTTACATCATTGGCCGTTTTAATTTAAATGACATCAAATGGAAATGTAGGAATTAGACTTGAGTTTGAAATGTTTTAATTACAACTGAGTAAAGCTAAAGTTATTAAAAGAGGTTACTGGACGTGCAGAGTCTCATAACATCAGTGTTTTGGTGCTGAGCGACAATGGCTACAATGGCTTCAAACATAAGAGAGAAATAGAGCATACTCACGCTAAATCCGTGTTTTCGATGACAAACTTGACATTTTCGTCTGTCAGTTCAGTGATTTTAACCGTCGGCTGGTTAGCATACGGCATTATAGGTGTTTAATTAGGGCAAAAACAACTAAATTACAACCTCGCCTGATTAGCGACCACTACCGCTGTTTAGGATTGAAGGCCGAACCGGAAATATTTACAAACCTCTGATTGGACAGGAAACGAATAGGCGATTTGTGATTGGACACAATGTCTGTCAGGGGGCCGGTCTTTAATTCACATCCGGGTCAGCTCTTCAATCGTCAAGAAATGTACAGAAAAAATATTTGGCACCTTTTCATGACCTTACTTTAAGTAGATTATTAAAATGAGTTCAAATGAACGCATCCATCTTTGTACCTAAAAAGCTGGGTTTTTCACTATTGCATATAATAGTGTATTTGAAGGAGAACTTGAAACTTCCAAGAAAGGAGAAATACATTTTCCCCTTATATCAAACCAATTAAAAAGTTTTTTATTTGATTAAAAAAATCAGGACACAAACTATCTTAAATACACAGTCACTACTTTATTGAACTCAAGATTCAATAGCTAAATCACAGGTCTTTTTAAACTTTTATACAAAGGGAAAGATCCATCCCGGTTCGAGAGTAAACTCTTGAACGAGGAACCAAAAAGTCAGATGTCCTGCAGGTGAAGACAAAGATACCCACAGCTTATTACAATTTGGGATGTTTTCTTGGTTGACAAAACCATAACCCAATACCTTCAGTCATATCAAACTGTTACACAGAAGTAAGAGCCAGAAGAAGGCTGATCCTTTCTTTAGCTTATGGCGTTTTTCAGGGGGCCGGGAGCTTTGTGTCTGAAAGATGTTTCCACATCATCGTCTCTGGTTGACTCCTGTGAGGTTTTTCAGCTGTAAAAAGGAGACACGTGGGAACATCTTTAATAGGAATCTTTAAAGATGATAATGTTACATCACCAACAATAATTCACATTTTCAAACCACATTAATGCAGACTTAAACAAAGACATTCCACCTTTGTAGAGATATAGGTTTGTAGAAACACAAACCCACAGAATTGATTTATTTTTGTCTTTTCCTGAATGGTTTGATATTGGAGCATTAATTACATAAAAGTTAAAAGACTTAAAAATCTACCGAGAAGATTCCGTATTACTGCTGAAAATTGGACAGAATACTCACCGTAACGGCAGCCCCCATCAGACCCTGCACCACTGCTTCACCAGTCGATTGCACCTTACAAACAAACAGGAACACAAAAGTTAAAAATTCCTAAGAAATAAAAAATACTAATAATAATAATTTCATTATCTTTATTCGTATACTCAGGACAACGTGTATGGGGATGCAATTAAATGTCATTTAAGGTCACTGAAGTGGAAAACTGGTAAACAGTGTGAAAAGCAACTATAAGAGCTCCTTCATGATCAGAATAAGTGTCTTCACCTCTTTAATGATCTCTACCTGTTTGGCAGTGGATGCCATGTTCACAACATCCTGAATGCGGTTTTCAAGGAAGCTCCAGGTGTCCTGGTAGTCTGGAGAAGAATCCTGAATCATCACCAGCTCCGTAGTGTTATAGATGCCCGTCAGCACCGCACGCTTTGTGTACCAGTTCATCTGCAAAAGAGACAGGAGGCAGGCAGAAAGTCAGAAAAGAATCAGTCCTTTTGGGACATGAAAGATACACAGTAATGAGGAAAAACACAGAGAAGCATCTCATATGAAAGTGTTGCTTGAAGATATCTTTATTCCTTCAAACGAAACTAATAAGCTGTTTGTTCATTCATTTATATGAGGTCACAGTAAGTCAGGTGCTCTTAAATGTCATGGTGGCAAATATGTATTGCTCTGCTGTCATTCCCCCACAGAGTGGAGGATTCTGGGTATTGAGCCAACACAAGCGGGTTTACGTGCAGTGAGACGGGCGCAATAAAAACATACAAGTTTGGATGGAAAGCAGACAAACAGAATCAACTAAACTATCTGAGGTGTTTTCCCTCCACAACACGGGAGATCTGTCTGGCCCAGGAAAGAGCAAAGTAGCCAGCACAAGCAGGAGCAGCCCACGCCTCCGTCCACTGACGCTGCCCCCTGGTGGCGGTTTGCAAAGCGCCAGCGCCGAGCGTGCTGGAGCCATGCCTGACCCTGACCTGGGAGGTGGCGGGCCGGATATTGTGGGGGTGGTGGTGAACGGGGGACAGGAAGGTATGAGCGGAGGAGGGGGGGGATCGAGGGCGATAAGATCCACTCACGTCTGTGGACCGGTCTCCTGCGTAGTACCAGATGTCGTCCACCAGGGTGGACAGGTGCTTCAGGCTGTCGGGGATGTTGTGAGGGAGGAGCAGGATGCTCATCGCCTGAGGACCCGGACACAAAGCCGAGGACAGAATGAAGCCGCGGACGTGAGCTCTGAGGGCAGAAGCCCGCGGGTGTCTGCTGAGCTGGTCTTTACCTGCGGCCACGTTTCCATGTAAGGGATGTACATCCGCAGTCGGGTCTCCACAGCGTCTCTGAGAAAGTCAGCCGTCTTCTTTTTTCTGCAGCACAGTGGTCAAACAAAACAGGCATTTTCTCTAAAAGCAAAAAAAAATTAAGTCCATGTAGCATTCATGCAATTAAGAACACCCATCACCATTACATGTTGGTAGTTTTTTTATTTATTTGATTTATTCAAATTTATTTGAAATTAATTTAAATTAAAATGAATTAATAATTTCTTTAACTAAGTGATAACTTACTTTTTGTTTGGTCAAATGTCAGATAACATTTGTGACAAACCATGATGCCATAAAGTTTATAAAGTTTTGAGAAAATGTAAATTTTTGTCCAAATCAGAAGAGTTCAAATTCAGCCCCAAAGAACCATCCTGACTAAGATGGCTCAGCCAAATCTTTCCTGTGAGTGTGTGCTGCAGTTCAGCTCGTCCATACGCACTCGGCCTGGCCCAGTTGGACCTGGTTGTGCTGCTCTGCCAGGCCCTCTGTCAGCTGGGAGTTGCAGTGGGCGATAAAATGTAGAACCAAGTCTCCTGCTCCGTTGTAGAACATACCAGTGGAGGCGGAGGACAAACCCAGTGACTGAAACAGGACAGAAACAACTTTACCAAACTCATCACAAACCTCCAGTCACAGCTCTGCTGCTCATTTAGTCTCCATTTGTACGACAGTTTTAAGTTGTGAACATGCAGATCTCTAAATGTTTCTGGAGACCGATGGCGGTTTGTTCTACCTCAGCACCAGCGGCGATGGCCTCCATGGACCAGCCATGCTGTGGGACAAACTCCAGAGCGGCTGTCAGGATTCGAGCCTGCAGCTGCTCCTCCGTTTCATAGTCTTCATCCTGCTCGTCCTGGTCCTGGTGACTTTACGTTTACAGTTCAGGAGAATTAAGCAAACAGATTGACTGAATTTAAATCAGGAGAGGAGAACAAATACAACATCAACTAATACTAAAGGGACTCCTGATGTCTGACCTGGTGTCCGTCCCCTCTGCTGCTGGATCAGGGTCATGCTGGGAAGCCGCCTCTGTGTCCTGCTCAGCTGAGTGAGCCTGGTAGTGCTCGTGGTAGGTTGTGGATGAGGATGCGGGGGGTTTGTCAGATTTGGACTCGTCCTGCAGCCTCAGTGCTGCACAGTGGAAGCCTCGTCTCAGGCTGCAGCTCTGAGGGCCCGTTGCTGTTGGTGCAGCCACAACTGAAAGAAGAAAACGATTCACAGCATTCAGTTACATCATCTAAAGGCTGTGATATGAAATACTTTCTTCTCATACGGTTTTCAATCCAAACAAAAAATGAGCAGCTAAACAATGTGAACAAACCCAGATTTAAAGGATTAAACTATAAAGAAAAAAAAACAATATGTCCCCTGATGCGTTACAAATATTTATTTGGTATGCATAAAGCTTGATCCACCCCACAATTCTTTATGGTTAGCCTCCAAACCACTAAATGTTTTAAATATTGCTTAAATAGTTTTATCCCCCTTGAATAAACTTACAGACATTTAACATATTGTTAAAGGATTTGTTAAACCTCTTAACACTGACCTAGAAATCATTCAGGGAGAAAAAGGCATCACATTCAAAGGAGGAACTTCTACTGTAGTTATTTTTTAAATGTGATAATACTAGTTTTGTCCCACACACTCGGTACAACTTTTGATACAACATTACTGTAATATTAACATCAGTCGTATTCTTCTTCCACAGAATTGAACCATGGGATCTCAAAATGACAAAAGACATTGTATAAAAACTGTTTTACAAAAAATCATAAATGCAACTAAATGTGGCTGACTATTTGGAAAAAAAAAGGTTGTTTTAATAGGATGTTTAATCGGTTAGTAGAGCCTTAAAGTTAAGTGGATCGTATCAAGTTTGATTATATTCACTACAGAACAGAGATTTGGTCACAAACTTTAAAGCACAATATGTTATACGTGCACATGCCGTACATTGTAAAGTTTCTTGGAACACATGAACAAAACTATATATAGCCCATTTAGCAGGAGATCTGTCCACTTGCATAACTGCAGAGCAAACGCCCCCCAGCTGCAGGAACTTACATGTTTACCAACGATGCATGTCTGAAAAAATGAGCTCTGAAAGGCCACATGAGTCCGACAAAAAAACATTATCCACGCTTTGATTCGGTTTGTAAAGCTACAGATAACTTAATATCCATTTATTGTCCTTCATGATCACCTTCTATAAGTGACTTTGGCTCAGGTAGTTAACGTCAACACTGGCTCGTGTCCAAACCACGAGACCCAAACAAAAAAGGCTGGACAATGCAGGGTTTCTCCACACATGTTCGGTCATAAAAACTAAAAGACAACAAAACAGTAAGCCTGTCTTACCGCTGCTCAGTGTCCGGAGGACCCTTCCAGCCCGTAGACCTCTCAGTAACGCCGCCATATCAAGCTGGACCAAGACAAAACGTCACTTGTACGCGACAGACTTAGACAGCGGAAGTAGAACTGGCTAAACTAAGCACAATCCCAACAAAACAAGAGCACCATCCCGAATAAAGACTCCTAAATCGATTTTATTATCAAACCACTTTGCCACATGACTTCAATTCTAAAAATAGAAGGCTAATATGTATGATGTAACAGATGTAACACTTGTAAAGAGCACGTTGAACGGCCAAAACGTCGCGAAACATTTTAAAATTTTTGTTTAGAAATTAACATCCGGAAACAGCCTTTTCGCTTAAGTAACTCCACTTTCCCCCAACTGCCACCAGGACAGGAGGTAAGACACAAAGTAGAGGAGTCTGAAACCTAATTTCGCCAACTAATTGTACGTTTAGATTTGTTTTAGAGCAAGATTATGACAAAAATAGTATGGTTTGTTTTTGAGGAGTCGTAAATCTGGTTGTGTAAACGTGTTAAAGTGTCGCCACAGGCTCCTGCGTCACTGCTTGCTTTCTGTTTTTTTGTGATCAGTAAACGGTCAATATCGTATCAGTTTGTCACAGAGGTCAAGGCTTTTACTCTGTGACACTACTTTGATAACATTTGACAGTTACCGAAACAGGTGGCGTTATAAGTTTACATAAATGAGACAAAGAACATTCCAGATAATTCATACCATCCTTTTTAAGGTACTTCACAACTAAAACAGGAACCTTAACTTGCCAATTTTTCTCAAAGGACTCATTAAAGATTGAGTTATATATGGAGAAATAATATTTCCCTTTAAATGGAAGGAAAAAGCATTTGGTTCTGTATGAAAACAAATTTTAAACGGATGGAAATGTTACTCAAATACTCAATTAAATTAAAAAGAGAGAGTAATGTGCATCTCATTTGCTTTAACAGTTTTTAATTGTTTGTGAACACTGCTTCGATAGCTTTGATCACCTAGTCTGGAATATTCAGCTGTTTGAATGTGATGCCAAGGAGGAAAGACAACAGCACTGACCTTCGAGAAGCATCTTTTGCTTTCCATATTTTGTTTCTTATCCAAAATAGTTGGAAACTGAGATCATGCTCCAAAGCAATGTGAAAGTACACTTTGACCTTCTCTTGCACTGTTGCCAGGATCAGAGCAGTAATCCTGCTATTTTCTCACCTGGTATTTTTATTTTGTTGATATACAACAACAGCCTAGCTTTTCCTTTGTTCAGATCTGGTAAAAAACTGTAATTAAAGGTGGTTGTTTGCTATTGTCTGGACTTGCGGCCCCCATGTAAAACCCACTCAGATTTAATGACACCCAGTTCTGCTGGTGTAAAAAGAGTTTTGTCTCTGTGAAGTTTTTATCATTTTCATCTTATTTAGATTGAGAGTTCAGATTACATTTGATGGATTTCGGTTTTTTCCATCATCGTACCCGCTTTGCTGGATCAAAGTACAACTGCTTTGGCTCTTTCTCCAGATAACCATGGCAGACCTTGGCATCAAAGCAGGAGACAAGGTGCTGTTAGTGTGGACTCAGCCATCGGCGCCAGAAGCTTTGAAACAGTATGCAGACGACCTAGCTGCTGTGGTTGGTGGAAATGGAAAAGTGGCGGTGGAGAACATGGAGAGACTGTTGCTGTGTGAGTCACCCTGCTCCTGATATAATCTTACAATCAGCAATACGTTTTCCTGTTGTTATGACCGTGCGTTTCCAGTAAATGCTGGGGTTGAGTGTTTTTCAGGGAAATATCCCAGAGTTTGTTAAAGCCTCTGAAAATATTTAATCACAGGATCCGGCATTGATTATACCCCCTCCCATTAGGTACAGGTCAGACAGAAAAACGAGATGTAAATTCCCCTCTCTTGTCCTCTCTTCAGCCTCACATGACACCTCCACGTACGACTGGGTGCTTTCTTGCCTTCTGGCTGACAGCTCCTCCATCCACAGTTCAGAGAGTCTAGCGGAGATGGTCAGAGTGCTCAAACCCGGTGGGAAGCTGGTCCTGGATGAACCAGTTACAGGTAAGAATCAAGGTCCAATTAAGATGATTTTAAGTGCTTTGTTTGCATGCCAGCCATAGGTTCCTGCTTTTGTTGTCAAATTAAACAAATGCCCCTCTCTCCTCCTGTTTTCCCGTTTTTTCGAAAAGAGTATGAGGCCTTTCCTTTTTGTGTATTATTTAAGCATGTTTATGTGACACAAGCTGAGTGGCCAAGTGGAAAAAGTTGTTCAGTGGCTTGGATCTGTGATCTCATTTCCGTGGCTGTGAGCCAAAGTTGATCGTCATATGTCAAAGCTGTTAATTCCTGTTCTACTTTACCTTAACTATTTAGTCAAAGATTAATTAATCACAACCTCAGAAGGTGTCACACGTGCAGGTTCGTGACCATGGATAAGACTCGAGAACGTAAGAGTTCATATAACTGTTTCATGCTGGTCCTTATGGACAGATCATAGATTCAGTTGGTTTTAAAGTTTGTCAATTCTGATTCCAATCACCTGCCGAGTCCTACAGAGGACCTAGAAGTAGGTTCGGTGAAACAACTATGTATTTTTATACCTTTATTACATGTTATACCTTTATTACGTTTCACTAAGACCTACATACACATTATCTTCAACCTTCATAAAAATAAAAAATGGAAACAAAATCACATTAAAAGTTACTCACTTATGGGTCGCCTGGGTTAGGTTGTTGCATTGTTTGTGTGACAGGATGTTTGTGTGTTTTTGTGTTACAGGCACCGAAGCACAGAGTGTGAGGACTGCTGAGAAACTGGTGTCTGCTCTGAAGTTGTCTGGCTTCATGGCAGTGACGGAGGCGAGTGTGAAGCCTAAAACCTGCCTGTGTGCTGCTGTCCAAGTGTATGCTCAAAGCAAAAAAGGCCCAACTAAACGCTCAAATTTGTGTTGATGAAGGATGTTTCTAATCTTTCAAACAGATAACCTATTGTTACAGAAGTGTGAGCAGATATTTAATCAAGATCTCCATAACAGGGAGAAATTAACTTGAAAAAACTTGCTCAGCTCAGATTTACTTTGTACAATTTATGGGAAAAGATGATTGTTTAAAAAAAAAAAAGAAGATAAAAAGGCTGTCAAAAAGGAAGTTAAGTGTAGGAAGAATGGTTAATACTAATGAATAGTCCCACCTGGTGTACTACAGAATATATTTTACATGTCAAAGCTTTAAAATCCTGTTTTGCTCTTTATTTCCTCAAAGTAAAGATACATGTCACTACCAGCTAAATCTCAAGTCTGCTTGCCCATTTTCTCCTTTCAGATCAGTAAAGCCGAGCTTAGCGTCGAGGCATTGAGCTCCCTCAGAACAGCCTCTGGTTACCAAGGAAACACCCTGTCGCGAGTCCGCTTGTCTGCCTCCAAACCAAACTACGAAGTGGGCTCATCCAGCCAGATCAAGCTGTCGTTTGGGAAAAAGATGCCCAAGCCAGGTTAGACTTGTTAGAATAGCTTTGGCTTCAAATTCAGATTAAATTGGAAACAATCACCTCAACCATTAAAAGACAAAATGTATTAGTTGTGCTAAGATACTGAAAAATTTGACATGGTTTAGTTTGATCGTTTGGTAAGTTAATTTTTATTACAAATGTTTTTATTTTTTTATTTCCTTTAATAAACAAACTAGAAATTAGGTCAAATTTCCTTCTCCTTCCCGTTCAACATCCGGTTCTTGATCCTGTAAAATGTCCACGTAAATGTTGGTTATGCGTCCTGTTATAACGTGTCACCAGCTCAGTTTTTAGAGCCTAATGTTTGGAAAAACGTATGTTTCCAGAGGAGAAACCAGCTCTGGATCCCAACACTGTGAAGATGTGGATGCTGTCTGCCAACGACATGAATGACGATGATGTGGTGAGTCCCGGTTTGGCTCCGTCTGCTGAACATTTGTGATATCCCGTTTCAGTCGATCCGAACAGCCGAATCTCAGAGACCAGAACGCAAACGTTGTCCCAAAAAACTCCCCCTTTGGTGTTCAACCAAAGCAGCCGCCGTCCGGCCTGAATGTCCCCTCTGTTCCGGCTGCTCTAGGATCTGTTGGACTCTGACGCTCTGCTGGATGAAGAAGATCTGAAGAAGCCAGATGCTTCTTCTCTTAAAGCTCCGAGCTGCGGAGAAGGAGCGGCCAAGAAGAAGAAAGCCTGCAAGAACTGGTGAGGCCTTCAGGGAAATGCGTTATTCATACCTGCCTAAAACTTTTTGTCATTACTGTGTTTTTAGTGAAGTTTAGTCCTCATTTCCATCAGAGGTTGCTTAGTGACCCCCTCTGCGTTCGTCCTGTTGTGTGTCTGTGCAGCACGTGTGGACTCGCTGAGGAGCTGGAGCAGGAGAGTAAAGGGAAGCAGACAGCTAACCTCCCCAAATCCGCGTGTGGAAGCGTAAGTAGACTTTAGCTTTAGGTCTCTTTTCGTTACGGAATACAAACCAGAGGAAGTAACGACCTGCCTGTGATTGGTGGCAGTGTTACCTCGGCGACGCATTCCGGTGTGCCAGCTGTCCGTACCTGGGGATGCCGGCGTTCAAACCAGGAGAGAAGATCGTTCTGGAGAACAACACGCTGACGGACGCCTGAAACTGCAGGACGCACCACGCCGCTGCTCACGCTCCAAAATGTCACATTCCTTTCTCTTCCATCCACCCAGAAGACCTTTTAACGGCCAGCGGATGTGTGAGTGAGGTCCAGATTAAACCAATTAGACGGTGAACTTCCAGTTGACCGCCATCAGCGTGGAGGAGATGCTCACATCTGTGGAGTCTGAGACGCTGACAGATCAATGTAAAACTGATGAAACAGGCCTAAAGCTGCAGGGTTTCCAGAAGGCACTGAAGTACATGTGTTGTTTTCTGATTTTATGTTTTTTGAACCACTGGAATTATTCCATCAAAAGGCGGAGATTCCGCAGAAGGCTGCAAAAGAAGAGTTTCAGCCGGCACTTTGATGCTTATTTATGTATCTGAAGGCAAAAACGAGTAATTCCATCCTGTTTATGACGTTACAATAAACTTAAGGCAGATTATGAGTCGTTTCCATTTACTTCTCTTCATCTTCCACACTTCTGTCCACGTGTTTTACTGTTGGTTAATGAGAGATGAACAGGGGCCGTGTGGACCTTACAAAAGGCCAGGAAGGGGGAGTGAGTCAGAAAAAGATCAAATGTGCCCCAGCAGCCACCAGTTGCTCCTCTGACTAAACACACTGTTCAACCTTAAACAGCCTGAAACGCCTTTGAAGTCACACAAATGCTACGCTAACATTTCAGAACCAGGAGCTGCTCAGATGTAAAGCTTTTTTATTCTGATTATTAGATGCTAAACGCACAATCAGAAAAAGGGATGAATCCTATTTCGAATTTGAGTTATCGTTCTTATCTGGCATGCAAACTCTGCACTCTTCACCGAAACACAATTACTAGAGTAAAGCAACAAAATGACAAAACAGGTCACACTTTCACCGCAAAATATGCCTTCAGTGCAAAGTCAGCAGATCTTTTGTCTTAAAACAACTCTGACACAAGCAGCATCCATGTAAAGCTTTATAAAATTCCTCCATAACAAACAAATGTTTGGTTCTGACACATTCAGGCACACGTTGATCTTCTGGAACACGGAAGCTCAGCAGTCTGCCTTCACAGCTCTGAAATAACCTCCAATATAATGATATAGTCACCACTACACTCTGTGGAAGGAGGGGTTTTAACACTGAAGCGTGGTCAGGGATGAGGATGGCTAATGGTCCTAAAGTCAGAAACTCAGCTGGAACTTAAACAATGATAATAAAATAATAACCACACGTAAAATCTGCCCCAAATGACGAGGCGGAGGGAAAAGTCCTGCTTCACATCACTGAGTCGTGATGCTGAAGTCCATCTTAATGTCTCCTAAACTGGGCTCAAAGATGAAGCTGTAATTCACCGCGGCCCTGCTGTCACTCGAAGTGTCCCACGCCGACCGGAGGAAGTACACCCCCTGCTTCCTGTGCCGACTCCACTCACAGGCGCCCTGCAGAGGACACACGGCAAAACATCCATTTCCCACTGACGCTATTTCTATTTAATAATATGTGTGTGTGTGTGTATAATTGAACTGTTAAAATGACCCGGCTTAAAAGGGCAACGAGGCATTAATGGACTATTTCTTCTCCTTAACAGCTACTCTCGTCTCCTCTAATCTCGCCTCTTTCCACGCTGGCCTTCTGGGAACCGCTGGGTGTTTTTGGTGCAGATAAATGAGTGAAAACAAAGGCACAGCTCGGACTGAAGGCCGATACCTGCTCGCTGATTGGCCCGTCTAGGCCTGCGCTGACGGTGATGTCATCAGTTAGCTGGTACTCCATCCACAAGGCCACGCCGTGGCAGCGCCCCCCCCTGAAACACGTGTTAAGAACCCTCGTGTCAAAAACAGCCCTTCTATTCTTTTAAATATTGTCTTCAAAGTTGAAATGAGGCGTGAAGGTCCCGCAATGGTGGGATTTAGTCGTTTTTAAGCAGAAAGAATTGACCAGAAACGGACCTTATGAAAGGCAGAGCGCCCTGGCTGCTGATTGGCTGCTGAGGCACGCACTGCGTGAAGTCAAAGGTCATGACGGCGGTGGGCTGAGTCAGCGCCCGACAGGGGTACTCCCACAGGGGGTGGGGCTCGGCCTCGTGGGACTCACGGAAATCCAGAGACCGCTGAGGAGACGGAGGAGGTGAATTACAAACTCCTGTGAGCCAGACTTCTCATTTTTATGCCACCTTCCCTTCGACCAACAGGAAAAAATGAAAGTCAGAGTAGATTTGTGTTTCTACCTGAACCATTTCGTCCATTGGAGTCACATCGAAGCCCTCACACGTCCCACACGGGGCTCTTATCCTCCATAAATCCTGACAAAGACACAATGACACAGAGCTCTTCTTTGAGAAATTTTCATCTGTTTAACCCAACGGACAAAAACAGCTTTACTGGACATTATTTTTATGAAGCTCCACCGTGTTAAAGATGGAAAATTTCATAAGTGTAAAAAGTGTATTTGATTATTATTCTTATTAGGTTCTGATATGGGCCAACGTTCGGCAGCAGCATTTATTTTTCTGCATTTTTCATGCAAAAAGTCAAAAATCACATTTTGATGCATGCTTTGAGAAGTAAAAAGTAGCACCAGCTGACTGGCAAATGTAAAAACTGAAAGTCTGTTTAAAACAGTTTTGGGAGAATCGGGGGAACGCGGCCAGAACTGGAACCTCTCCGTGTCTAAAAAAGTATTTGGAGAAATGGGAGAGGCGTCTAAAACTCCGCGTCTGAAGGTGAAGTCTGACCTGGAACTCCACGGCCAGCATGTGCAGGGAGGCGGAGCGGGGCAGGACGGTGGCGTCGGGCCGCAGGAGGCCGGCCAGGGCCGAGCGGCTGTACCAGAAGAACAGCGAGTGCCACGGCAGCAGGCTGGTGCTGAAGTAGGGCTCGCCCATCAGGACCGACACCTGGGAGGGACAGAAACCACAAACAGAACACACTGATTTCAGCGGGTGTGTGTTGTAGAAATGGCTGCTTACGAATCAGTCTCTCATCTCCAACTGGGAGTTTTTAGCCTTTTGATGAGATAGATTTAAAATGCACTATATCTGGATAAACCAAACACTGTTGGGGGTTTTAGAAACACTCTGCTGGCTCTTCTCTGTGGTTCACCTTTTTGGGCTCTCGGTATAGAAACGTTGGCTCAATGATTAGCTCTGATAATACTGACTGATTAAGTTAAAAAGATGAAATGATGAAGTACCAGATTCCCTCCGAGGTCGCTGCTGGTGAGCTGCTCAGGTCGGATCTCCAGTACCTCCACGCCTCCTTTCATGGTGTTAGCTTCCAACACCTGCAAAAAAAAGTGCTTCTTACACACCATGAAAGGTTTGTAGCCAACATTTGGTGTTTTTCCACCAGTGCCTGTGGTGAGACAGCCAAAACAATGCCTCACCGATCTGCTCTGTTGTCTTTTGTGAGTTTATTATTTCAAAACGTATCCAATGAAAGGACATGTCGGAGCGTTAAATGTTAAGTTTGTTTTTTTGTTTGTAGCTTTATGTCCCTCTCTGCGGTTATAGTGTTTCAAAATGGCGGATCGCCATGGAAACCTCTGTGGACTTATCAGTCTTGTGTATATACAGAAAGGAAATTCTTCGCTTATGAGGAGAAGTCAGATCATTGCAGAGGTCATTTTACACCAAATGTGGACACATTTAGAAATGAAGACAATGATTTTAGAAAATAAAATACTTAAAACACTACAAAATGTCCCTTTAAGAAACATTGTGTAGTGAACGTGTTCTTTACCTGCTCGATAATCTGTTTGGACATTCTGGAGTTTTCCAAACTGAAAACCTGAGGACAGAGGAACACAGAGAGAGTTCGATGACAAAGTCTGGCTGCTGTCCTCCTCACGGGCTAAAGCCGAGTACCTTCTTGGCTCCGAGCGCACGGGCCAGCACGGGGAGGAGACTGCCGTCGCTGACCGACAGACACACGCTGTCCTCCCTCAGGACCTGCGGGCGACAGACGCTTAAGCGGGGGGAACTCGGCGGTTATCGGGCCGCCGCGCCCCGCCCGCACTCACGCTGCGCAGGGCGCCGACGTAGCTGGCCGCACGGCGCCGGTCGTTGAGCTCCCCGAACCGCGGCCGGGTCCAGACCAGGTGGGCCTGGCAGGTGCAGCAGGGCCGAGAGGGAGGGGCTTCGGTCAGTGCGTCCGGCTGGCTGGAGCGGACACACACACACAGGGGTTAGAGCAGTGGTTCTTGACCCGTTTTCAGGTATATATGATTTTTTTCCAAAGTCAAGACGTAGGTACAGTATATGTTTTTTTACTGGTGCACAAAATGAGCCGTCCAAAACCAACACAGGGCATGAACTCACAACAAATTACGGTAAAACTTTATTCTGGCCCCCAAAAAATATTTCAGCCCAATAAAAGAATTTAACCCTCCCAATTTGTTTTAAACTATTTTACTAATTAAAAATACATTTGGATTTTTTAAAAAGAATTTATCATTATAAAATATTTTGTAAATTTTAAATTCAATTTGTTTTTTGTGGTTTCCAATCCTCAAAATACTTCTTTGGGGCCAGAATATGAAGTGTTTCTTTAGTTTTGCCGTTGGCAGACTAGAGTTGCTCTACTCGGTGTTGCAGAAAGGGCGCTGACTCCCGTCCCGTTCTGTGATACACAGGTTCCATGTTGTACATATTCGTCGGACCACTTTCTTTTTTTGCTCGACATATTTAGTATGGATTCAAATCAAATAAGAAAGGAACCACATGGCTTAAAACTACGACACCTTTGATTGAACACAGGTTGAGAACCGCTGGGTTAGGGTTTGTGATTAAAGAGGGGCTCCGTCTACCTGGGGGGCTGCAGGCTGTACCACAGGCTGTAGTCGTCGTGGCACACCGTCAGACTCAGCTCCTCTCCCTCCGACACCCGGCTCTCCGCAGGCAGGAAGTACACGCTCTGCATCCAGTGGTCCCGCCACTGGAACGGGACGGAGCTCAGCACGGTGCCGGCCGACGGCGGCCGGAAGGGAGAAGCGGCGGCTCAGGGACTCACCGGGGCCGTGTGGGGCTGGGGGTACGTCCAGCTGGGGGCCATGCTGCAGACGATGGATCCGCCGGGATCCATGTCCAGGTCCCACCAGGACAGGACCACCTGGGCCCGGCCGCTGGTCCGGGCCACGAAGCGGCAGGAGGCGGACTGGAAGGCGCTGCTCACCGGTTTGCTGAAGTCCACGCTGAGAGGGGAGCAGAGGGGGGGGGGGAGACCTGGGGGGAGCCCCGCCCCCCCCCCCCCCCCCCCCCGGCTCCCCTGCCGGACCTGAACATGGTGCACAGCGGGCTCAGGGCGGTGAAGCTGGCGGGAGACACCTGGCTCAGCTGGATGTCGCAGACCGAGTGGGCTCCGGCGCAGCGGGCCACGGCGGGGGGCGGGGCCAGCCGAGCCCCGCCCACCTCCAGCGGCTGCAGCTGCGCCCAGCTCCACAGCAGCTCCGACTCCACCAGCTGGGCGTAGACGGTGGCTCGGTGCGGCACCGCCTCACAGCCCTCCTGCAGGGAGCAGCAGGGAAACGAAGGTTCACTACAGTTTTCATCAATGAACTCATCAGCTAGTTATGGTTTCAAACTCGTTCATGTTTGTAAAGATGCACAAACAGTCACAGCTCCAACAGTCACAGTTACTTTAAACAAAGACGAACCTGGACCAGATTCTGATGAGCGTGCTCATAACTGGGCAGAGCGCCTTCCCCGATCAGCTCGGTGTCGAACAGCTCTGTGATCAGCACGTTGGCTTTGTGCTGCATGTCTCCTTCTGTGGAAGCAACACACAACATCACATAAACTCACCCTAAACTGATCTGTGACTATGGGGAAAAAAAAAAAAATTGGAAAACAAAAAACAATTAAACTGTTTTAGTATTTAAATTTTTTTTATAGGGTTTTAAAAACCTGAAAATTAGCTACGCTCTTTAATGGGTTATGCATGTTATAATATAAAGTCAGCAAAAAATAATAAATACTCTGCATTATGTATGGGAGCCCAAAGAGATCAAAACTAAATGCGTTAAATATTTTTGTATTTAATCAGAAATCATTAAAATAATAATCATAATATCATAATAATAATAGCTTAATCATAATAGCAATAAATTAAAATTAACAGACACTTTTTAAATTTAAAATATATTAAAATGTATGTGATGGCCACAGGTAAAACATATATTAAACTTTTAAAATGGAAATCTGGGTAAGAGCTGACCCAGTGTGAATAGTGTGCCCAAAAAGGGAAAATGCAGTGATGTGTGCTGTCTCTGTCTGACCTGGTCCCACTGTCACGTCTGTTGAGTGTTTGTTAATAATCTTGATTTTGTCAGAGAAGCCGTTTTTCTGCACAATGGACAGAGCCGCCTCAGCCATGGGCCTGAAAACCTGCAGATTATTTAAAAAAATACAAGTCGCTTTGGATAAAATGTAGAAACATAAAGCTACACAAAACAGAGAGCCTGTGTACCTCTACGGCGTAGCAGAGGTCGGCTCCAGCAGTGACGGCCATCATGGAGAGGAGGCCGGTTCCGGTCCCGATGTCCAGGACGACCACCCTCTCACCACGAGCCTTTACTCTGGCTACGGCAGCCCGGATGCCCAGATAATACTTCTCATTCTGGGAAAAAAAAGAGCATTTGTTCAGATCTCAGTGCAGCTTTGCATCTATACTTATTATTCTAAGACATTTGTTTTTATAGAGGCCTTATTGCACGTTTCAGCACGATCAACACTTTAAGATTATTTGACAACACCAAGCTTCCCGGCGTCCTCACCCTGTCATGATCATGGAGCATATCGGCATAACAGGACCTGAAATACAGACAAAAACAGGATTTTATAAATGACACCAACTTGCCCTGATTCACTCTGTATAACGCTGCTAACTTATTTCTGCGAGTCAAGATCAGGTTAAAAAAAGGACAAAAATACAGCGAAGAGCCAAATCAGAGCGCCTTCCAGGAACCAGCATTCATTTAAAAACATTAAAATGGTTCTCATTTAACCAAACCAGAACCAATATCTCTGATCAGACTTTAAATAAGTAGATTTTAAACTACACTGTTTAAACTATTTCAATCTAACCAGCATTTAAATGAAAATGCTTAAAGACTTTCAGTCACAGTAAAAAGTAAACAAATGTCAAAATATTTCTAGAAAAGTCCAGCCTGTGTTTCCAGTGTATAATTTGTGGTCCTGGCTTAGTAACACACTTGTTGTGCTCATGGTTTTGGCTCAATAACAACAAGTATTGATTTGTAATTCCACCATATTTACTGTTCAGACCATAAAAACGGGACTGTTTCTACTAAACAAGCTCAACCCGGTTCTTTAAAGATTATTATTGGAGCTTTTATTCCTTCTCATTTCAATTAGCTAAAACTTAAGAGTTGCAAACGGTTAGGCTTAACTGATTAAATACTTTTTCAGTTTATTCTTCTTTTTATTTTTCTAATTCTTAGTTGTTCTGAGCATCTCTGAACTGAGCCCGACACGGAGTCCTGTCATCTGCGGGCCAGCCCCCGCCTGTCCCCGGCAGCGTGGCTCTGAGAGCCGCCGCCTTAGCTCGCTGCTACCTGGCTATCTCCTGGTGGTAGTCGTACTCCTCGCTCTCCTCCACCCAGTCCAAAGCGCCGGTGGTGGGGTTCGCTCTCCCACAAAAGGTCTTCATCTCTGCCAAAGGCCTCCGGACGACGTGCCCCGCGAGAGAAAAAAGTTTCGTCTGAAAAAATGGAATTAGACAGAAACAGCGTTTTCTCAGCAGGCTGCCATGTTGCCATGTGACGTCACGGACTCTTTTGATCACATGACTTTAAATGCTCAAAGTTTTGTTAGCGACCACATGTACGGAACGCCACAAAGTCCAAATAACTAAACAAACAAACAAAAAGATAATAATAATAAAGGATTAATAAAATAACATTAAAAGTATTCATTAAAATAGCATTTGTTACTATTATTGTTGCTATAACATTATTATAAAAAAGAAAAACATGAGTGACATTTTTTTTTAATCATAGATTGCCCTTTTAGCATTTATTTGCATTTTATTTCAAATGTAATATGTCTATTTCAATGGCGTTGTTTTCTAGATTTAATTTGGTTTGGTAAGTATCTGTTTTTTTTTCCAATTTTACTTGACTTGATGACACCAGTTAAGGTTTCCGACAAATAAAATTAAATTAAAAAAATGACAAGACGAATGTCTTTTCAATGCAATTTTTTTCTTTTTCTTTTAGTCCCTATGATGCACTTTGAGACATAACTTCTTTTGATGACCTACTGTACATAAATAAATCCACACACTGTGCCGATTTAATTATCGTAATAATGATAACCATCAGTTAAAATGTTTTCTGATATATCAGCTGAATTTTATGTCACTTTTTTATTTAACATTGCCCATCTTGGAGATCCCCCTCGTTTTACCTAATCAATCAACATAAAAAAATGAACAAATCAAGACGACAAATGACCCCATGAAGAACTGACATTTTTATTAAGTTTACGGTTTACTTTAAAGGAACTGAAAAAGTCAAATCATAGTGTTTTTAATGACAATAAAACATTTAGAGTAAGAAACAGATACATAAATACAATAAATACTATTTAAACATCAGATTAAAACACTCTATATAAACAACAAATGCAACATAAAACTGAAGACAACAAAATTCCATAAATCAGGCAAATAAAGAGGGTGATGGGTGGTGATTTAGCAGCCAAAATTATTCATGGAAGACACTTAGAGCCCATAAAAACCTCAAACTAATATTGTCATTTTGGAGATGAAACAACATTTTGCATGTTCCATGGAATCATATCAAGTAGAAATAAACACATAGAACCCTACATGAGCCTGATAGTTTTTTCCTGTAACATGACATCTTATTTTATGTAATCTTTATGTGTATACAATAATTTAGTTTATGATATAGTTCTTTAGGATTTTATTAAATTTTATTTTTAAAAATGGGATTTTCTGATATAGTTAAAGATTATGTAACTGAAGTTAGACTTGAACCAGCAAGCCACCAACATAAAGTTCTGGAAAACTGGGGCAGAGATAAAGCCGTGAACGATCAGAATGATGAAACAGAGCTGTAAACGTAACAGTTTGAGTGCCGGCTCTCATGCACACTTGGCTGTGGGCAGACAGAAGGCCAATGTCGAGGGAGGGACCAGGATGTCTGTGAAGATGGGTCGGTATCCGGCCGGAAGAGGAGGAGCGCTCTGCTCCAGTAAGTCCAGCACGTTGCCTCTGACGTCCCTGGAGACGTCACCACGGATGTCCAGCAGCACGGACACGTGCTCCTCGCTGAGGGAGCAGAGAAACACCAATACATACACCATACATACACGAGCAGCAAGATTCTCTGGAGGCACCAGAAAACCCCCCAAAACTGAACCATGTCTCAAGTTTCCTAACATTTTCTAAGCTGGGTGGGCTGAGCAACAGCCAGGTGATGATTACCTGATATCGGGGTATTTGGCTGCAAGTCCTGACACTTCCAGAGTGAGCATGCCGGGGTCTTTAAGCCGGATGAAGTCAGCCAAGACGGGCAGCAAGGCCAAAGGATTCACTTCAGGCACGGACCCCTCAACTTCCTGCCCCAACACACAAATGCAGCTACGTTTGACTTATACAGTAGAACCTCTACAAAGGAATTTAATTTGTTCCAGGACCTAGTTCGTTTGTTAAAATATTTGTATGTTGGTTCAAATATTCCCATAATAATACACCATGATTCGTACAATTCGTTCCACAGCCCAAAAACCTACCTTCTAATTATAATAATTATAAGGAAATGATCAATAAAAAGGGCAACTGTAAGTAAAGGTTCTACTGTACAGCTAATATGTCAGAGCTAGCTTTTGGAGTTAAATTGAGACGTAATTATGATGTCAGCACCACTTTGGGTCTCACCAGGCATTGGAAGATTTCTCTGAACAGCTGGTCATCCTGAAGCATCTGCTGGGCCAGCTGCCTCCTCTCCTCGCTGTTCCGACACACCAGCCTCTTCTGCATCAGGGCCCTGACGTACTCCACCACCATCAGCCACTGGGCCTCCTCCTGCAGGCGCTGAGGGGGCAAAACCAGAACCACACCGGAGGGTCAGGCCAAGGCTAAGGAAAGACCTCCTTCTTTACTTCTCATTCGTTATTATCCTTTGTATAACCTAGTTGGTTTAAGATTAAAGATATGTTTTTACGAGGGGGAGCAAAAGGGCAACCTCACCTTTACTTTAAAAACAATCATCAAGCAAGTAGTTCGACATTTAGAATCTATTGTATTTTAAATGTTAAACTAAGGTTGTTCAACAACTTGTCAAATGTAATCTCATAGATCCACTGTAATATGAAGTGTCACTTGAATGTCTGGATGGAAAAACTGAGGTGTGTAATAAATCCGTTACCTGCCGACAGGGCGGCCGGACCCGCCCGTAAAGGTCCAGGTGGAGTTCCAGGACGCTGCACAGTTTGGGCGTGGGGTCCCCCTGGACCAGCCAGGGTCGGGTCAGCAGGCCGGGGAGGAAAGGCTGAAGGTCCAGCTGCAGCTGGTCCATCGCCAGGCGGCACGCCCGCCGCACCGCCCGGTCCAAAGCTGCCAGGGGGTTGGGGGGAGTCCGGGTGAACTGTCCCGCCACCCGGGAGGACTGCTGCTGCTGCAGGCTCTCTGTGGACTTCCTGCATCGGGTACAAGAGGAGGCGGCTAGCCCCGGATACAAGACCAGCCTGAGCTGCAGACCTGCAAATCCCTCTAAATGTCCAGTAGAGCCACATTGAGGGGGGGAGTCAACGTATTTGATATTTTTTCAGCATCAGCTCCAAACTAAGATACTCAAAGTGACCCCTTTGAAAATAAAAGAAAACCTAATGTGCCACTTAATCTGTATCATGCTTTTTGATGAAGCAGCTGAAGGAAAAACTGATGATAAAGATCAGACCATCTGCACCACATGCATTTACTTCCTTTCAGTACTGACTACATTAAGCCTTAAGCCTCTGAACTGCTCGTCCTTTTTTTACACAAAACTGTCAAGTAAATAAACGATATCTTAACAATGGAAAAAGACTTCCGTTACAGCTATTTGGAAGAATCCTCCTTAAAAGAAAAAGGTCAATAAAGATGGAGGAACACCTCATGGAGCATCCGCCATTATGAATCTCCTGTGAATGAAAAAATGTGGATGATGACCATAATCTTACTTCAGGATGATGCAGTTGCTGATGGAGGCCAGCAGGTAGTGGAGGTAGAACTTGTTTTTGTTGTTGCTCAGATCCCTGCGATGCTCCTTCCCAAATTCAACCAGAGCTTCCCGAAACCTAGAAACAGGCAGACCGAATATTTAAAAAAACAAAAAAACTCTTGAGTCTTACAGGGGGAAAAAAACATGAAGAAAATAGATGAGTAGAAATTCAACCTGTTTAAAAGGTTTTCCATCTCGTACAACCCCATCTGAATGGTCTGGTCCCGCAGGGATTCTCCGATCATCAGAGCCACCCGGGCGTTCTCCCCCAGCATCTACAGGAAAAAAAAGTGACTCAGCTTAAAGCTGCACGCCGTACAACCCACAGAGAGGCCATTTCCACACACAGTTTTTCGTTTTACTACACCACTTAACAGCTCTCTTAATAGGCTTAATAGGTGATAACTGTCTGAGCGCCAGGGATCGTCTGGGATTTTCTAATTCTGTTGTTGCTGCTTTTCTTTGTGAACAGAAGCTGATGAGGTTTCTCAGCTTAAACTTGATGCGTGATATCAATGATATGAGATCAAAAAGAGACAGCCCCTCAGACTCCCTGTAGGTGAGCGTCGGGGCAGCCTGTACCTGGGTGATGATGGTGGGCAGGCTGGTCTGGTAGAAGCCTTCGTGGTCTGTGTCCGGCTCCTGATCTCTCTGCCAGTCTTGCAGCTCCACTTGCAAAGCTTTGTGCATCCACTCCGACACGCTCTTCTGTTTCACACATCCAAACCAACCCAGCGTGACACCACAGAAAACACAGTTTTCCTCCATTATTTCTCCACTCAGATTGACGTGCACTATATCCGAGAAACAGCAGAACTGCGAAAGGACGGGTCTCAGACTGGTACTCCGACTCACCCGAACACTCTGAACATATTTGCTCTGCAGCTGTTCCAACCCCTCTGAGGAGATGAGGGGTCCCAGATCTGCTCTCTCCAGCTCAGCCCTCAGCTCAGAGTGGCCCATCATGTCCGGGCTGAAAGAGGAAGACCGCCACACTCAGATGGTTTGCTGCCTAAAGTCCACCAGCCTTCAGCTATCAGACCCCTCTCTGTGGACCTTCAAACTTTCCTATTTGATAAAGCTTGTATGGCTGAACCCACTCTCTTGTCCTCCCGACAAGAAGTAAAAGATGAGGTAAAGTTAACCCGAAGGAAACAATCGGGATAAAATAGAGAAAAATCAGGAGTTCTGCATTGAAAAAGCACCTCACACCAACACTTTACAGGCAGGACTCACCTGTTGTAAATGTGTAATACCCAGTTCAGCACCGCAAAGATTTCCCCGCTCTCCAGGTCCCAGCTGCTGACCTGGAGAGGAAAGAAACGTAGTTGTCAACACAGAACATCTCAGTAGTTTTCAAATGGATCAAAATCATCATTGATAACGGATCCAGAAACTGAAAGGACACAAAACTGAAATAAAAACAACCAGAATAAGAAAAGACCATGACAGTCCCTAAACTGTCCCAGTACTGATGCATTCCTGGCCTGGAATGCACACACGGGTGTTTATTGACAAACTAAATGAAAAGATTTGGAACCTGTGATTCAAACTGGAACAAAGTGCAAAGTAAAATTAAAAGTAACCAAGTTCCTTTTCTGGACGGCACGGTGGTGTGGTGGTCAGCACCGTCACCTCACAGCCAGAGGGTTCTGGGTTCCAGTTCCCAGGGGAACCAGGACAATTCTGTGTGGAGTCTGCATGTTCTCCCTGTGTCTGGTGGGTTCTCTCCGGGTTCTCCGGCTTCCTCCCACCGTCCAAAAACCTGCATGTTAGGTTGATTGGACACTCCAAACTGCCCTTAAGAGTGAATGTGAATGTGTGTGGTTGTTGGTCCTTGTGTGTCTCTGTGTGTCCCTGTGATGGACTGGTGGACCGTCCAGGGTGACCCAACCTCTCCCCATTGACCACTGGGATGGGCTCCAGACCCCATCAGGGAATAAGCGGTTACGAAAATGGACGGACGGGTTCCTTTTCCACGCAATTCAAACTTATAGAACAAAGTTCTGCACATGGTCTGTGAACATGGTCAGTACCCACCTGGGCCAGGTGAGCGTGCAGGCAGCGGTGACTAGCTCTCAGGTAGGCTCTGGTCAGCTGGTAGTGCGGCGGGACGCAGTGCTCCAGCAGGTGGCGCACGGTGTCCAGGTCGGCCATGAGGCCGTGCTGCAGGGCGGAGAGGTGTCCGGCCAGCCCCGGCCCCCGGGCGTGCAGGTAGGACACGCTCCTGAAGCGCGCAGACACCGCCTCCTCTAGTACCTGAGGGGAGGCCGGAGAGGGTCAGATGGGGCTCAGTCAAAACGGGCGCACGCGGCGCGCAGACCTGGAAGAAGCTGGATCTCCAGCAGCGCGGCCGTCCCGGGGGCAGGGGCCGCCCCCCCCCGCCGGCTCTCTCCGCCAGCAGAGCCCGGTCCAGGGCCTCCTCCCGCTCCACGATCCTCACCGCGGACACAAACGGCGTGGGGTTTTGTCGGGCCAGGGCCAGAGCGCTGCTCACCACCGCCCACAGCTCCTTCCCTGGAGGAGAGGATGGAGAGGATGGAGAGGATGAGGGGGATGAGGAGGAGTGGGGGGCGCCGGTTTCTCACTCAGCTTTTGTTTCAAACATTGTTTGTGTGTTTCAGTGTCAGTAAAAACTGTTTTGGAAATCCTCTTTTTAGGAAAAAAAAAAGAACCCTGTCTGTACATTAAAGCTTCAAAAAAGCTTCGTCAAATCTCAAAGAGCTCATAGTTGGATATTTTCCAGCAGAGCTCTTTGCTGTCAGAGCTTTTTTTTACCATATATTTTACCAGATTTGTTTTTGTTCGTCCCCAATTTTAAAAATCTAATTTATAGTTTTTTTAGCAATGCTGAGGATTTTAAGTGCTCATATGTTTGAAATGTATTAATAAGTAAGGCTGCTCTGCTTTTTAAACCAATGTATTAATTTAATACTTTTTTTCACCCCTCTTTGTTTAGTACAACTAACTTTTTTGTACCTAAAGATTTCAGACTGTGTTTGGTACTCAGCGACAGCATGAACGACAGCAACAAAAACCTGAAGTGGACTGACAAACTAGCACACATCAAACCCGCAGCCCCGAGCCAGCTCTATCCTCACCCAGGGCGTCCACCAGCTGCCCGACTCCAGAGAAATACTTGGCCACCAGCTCCTGGTCCTCAGCGCTGAGAGCACTTCCTGCCGTCCCCGCCGGCCCGTGGAGCTGCCAGAGGATGTCGTCCTGCCACTGCTCCAGATCCATCAGCCGGGCGTGGGCCTCCAGGAGCCGCCGGGACTCCACCAGTTGTTCCGTCTCCAACACCAGGCTAGGAACTACAAAGGTCGAGGGAGGGGGAGAACTTTCATTCCTCAAACTCCCGAAAGCAGCGATGTTGTCGTCTGCAAACATGCATTCTTCTGATTTAGTGAAGAATGGATGTAAATACATATCAAAAGTCAAACTACAACTCTTTAGAGAGTAATTTAGAGCCAGAAGAAGCTGCTAGTGAAGCTGTTTTCTAATCAGACACAGTCAGATCAGTTAATTGCAAATGTAAGGGTGCGTTTTAGTGACACATAGACATGAATAAGACTGTAAAAATGGGAAAACCACATCCTGGGAGTTAGAAATAATGAAGCCCATAATGAGGGGGGTAATGAGGGGGCGGTGGAGGGCTTTTGGGGGGGGGCTCCTCACCGGAGTAGAGCCGTGGCAGGTTGCTGACGGCAGCGAGCAGCTGATGGTGACTCACTGACACGTCCCTCAGCCTCTCCAGAGACTTCACATCCTCCGCGTTTGCGTCCGACTCCAGCCCCGCTCGGCCTAAGGTGCGCGACACCTCCCGCAGCTCGGCCCGGGCCTCCCGGAGCTGCTCCAGGCCCCAGCCCACCCCCTCCAGGTACGACTGGACCATGGACTGGAAGCACAGGATGATGGGACAGTGGGTGAGGGGACGGGCGGCGGACGGAGGGACGGAGGTCGGCCGGACGTGCCCCGGGCCGTCACCTTCAGCCGGGCGTGGACGGACGCCGTCCTCTGGCTCTCCCTCTTCTTGTACTGGCCCAGTCGCTCCAGGTGCTCCGGCCGGCAGAACACACCCGACGCCCACTTCAGGGCAGCACCGCGGGCCAGACGCTCCGCCCTCTCCACCTCCGGCCAAACCGCAGCCTCTCGCACCGTGTCTGGCAAAAAAAACAAAGGAAAAACATCTCAGATTGTAAATGTTTTACCGAATAGGGGAGTCATTCTGTCAGCCTCTGGGCATTTTGGGTAAATAGAAAAGATTGAGTTTTATGTTTTCACAACTAAACAAAATGGGGTCACATGTCAGCAATGTATCAAATCGTATAAAAATGGGCTTTTTGGTTATCTGTTGAGGAATTACTCTGAAACTCCAGGATCTGCCTGTTGTTATTGGTGTCTTAAGTGTTGTTATTTTTTATGGTAAGTCTAATGAACTATTTTAAAAATAAGTTTAAACTGTTTTGGTCTCCTCTTATTGTGTTATTGTTCTTGGGTTGTGTTCTCTTTTATAGTTTAATTTTAGATATGCTTCAGGATTAAACTTGACGTGTAGGAAAAAGTCCTTTTGAGCCAGTCAGTTTGCTGAGATGCGTTTTAACTGAAGAAAGCTCACCTGAAACAGAGGAAACATCTGTCATTATTGTTAGAAAACAGCTGAAAACGCCTCACAGTAGTTTAATATAGCAAACTAAACATGTTTCAAGCACAACTGCTACAAAGTTCTCTGTTGGGAAACTGTTTCACCATCGTTGAGCAAACTTGGTCCAAAGTGGACGAGTGCTTTTAGCTGTCATGATTTTTTAAAATCTTGCCCTCTTAAACCAGGGCACGACCTTTCCCATGATGCAATGGGCCCGAAATTCTCCCAGCGAGGTTCAGCTTACTCATCGGGGTAATTATTTCTGTTGCAACAGCATCTTTGTTTCCAAGAAAAGTTCGGAGGAACCAAATCCAGTGTTTCTAAAGGCTTGTTCCCAGCTGGGATATCCTCTGTCAGGAGTGGTTATTTACTGATGTGTTTCATTTTTCAAAATGTTGCTTATTTCACAGCTCAGAAAAATGTTCTAAGATTTTCCGATTTGTTTGTTGAACTGCTGCCACAAATCCAGTCAACGTATGAGAGAATTTGATTTATCTCGATATAATTACATATGATTAAGAGGTGTTGTTCCTATAATTACATTCAAAATCACACACTCCCAAAAACACTCTTTAAATGCAAATCTCAAAAACCAAACATTTCAATTAATATAAGAGGGACAGTTGTGCTGTTCCTAACTTTAAAAAGCCGGAACACTGAGGATTTGTTTGGCACTCGCTCTTCTTTTGACTTCAGTCTGCAAACATCTCGGCTCTAAAGTGACCAGCTGTTGGACCTTTGGGAGAAAACTTCTGTCCTAATTTTGTCAGATTTATTATTTCTGCTCTCATGATTATTCTTTCCTGTATTTCTGGTCTCACTGTGTTTTCAGAGGGAGGAACATTTGGTTCAGAAATAGATGCGGCTTATGGTTTGACATCATCTTGCTAAAATTTGAAAGACCTTCCCCGAATAAGAACATATCTTCTGAAACTTGTGGATACTTTTCAGCTTCAGTTCAGCCTTTCCAGATGTGTGATTTGCCATTTCAAGAGGCTCTGCCCATCTACATCAGGCTGTAGTTGCCCTCTCCTTTTCGAGACCCAAGAAGAAGAAGTCCCGTGGCCTTTAGACCCAGATCTTAGGATTCAGGTTTAGATCCATCTGACCCCAGAACAGTTTCCACTTGTTTTAAATGAGACACGTGAGTCATGTGGCTTCTTCCCTCTCTCCACAATGGAGCTTTAACCTGGGTCTGTGGATGGAACGCTAATCTGTTTTCACAGACAAAGATTGATAGACGTCTTCCTGAGCTCGTTCGGTTCAGGACAGAGTCAGGTCTCTGTTCAACGCTGTCTCCTTTGTCCGACTAATATATGAACAACTGCAGGCCAACATAGCAAGCTCCATTTCTCCCTGCTCTAATCACTAAGTTCATGCTAATGCGATACTTCCCAATTCTATTTGAAGACAAATGGAGATGGGAATCATGTGAAAGGATGCTACCGTGCTGAACTCATAATGAAAGGGGATTGTGAGCCTGTCGTCCGTTTAGGTAAGCAGGATGGGATTTCTCATCAGTCAGGCGGCTCAAACCGGCTGTCCCGGGTGGCAGAATGACACATCCTGACTGGTCCAAACTGAATTAGGATGTGATTAGTGACTCAGCAGAGAGCCACGCTGCAGCGGACGCTCAGAAAAACTTCGGTTTCTGCTGCAGTCAGAAGTCCTCGTCAGTGTCACGGGTCTGAAAGTCTCAGTTACACAAAAAGGGCCCTTTTTTTTTTTTTTTTTCGCTCTCGGGGGACGTCACGGGACACCCTGCCCTCCAGCAGCCAGACCGACGCTGAGGCCCAAACGTCATCAGCAGCAGCGCTGCAAAACAACAAACCTCTGAGCTCCACACAGAGAGAAGTGATGAGCACGGAGAAAGCACTCAAGAGGACAATACAGCAGCCCCGGGCCGATCAGTCCGCCGGGAAGCTGCTGACCACCAGCCGAGGCTTCACATATTCAGCTAATCTCAGCTAAAGCCACGAGTTCATTATGGTGCTCATAAAGCGCTTTATCGAAACAACCATAAGACACAAACAAAGTGCTGCAGTCTGAGATAATCCCCTCAAATCTATCATAAATATTTAATAGATCACCATCAATCATCAGCAGATGCAACAAAATCCACAGTCTGTCTAGGATTTATGCTTTCAAAGGGACTGATTTCAAAAGGCACCAACAAATGTGGAGGTTTTCGTTTTTTATTCGCTTTACTGAGCCCCTGAAATGGATTCTGACTCGATGTTATTGTGATGCAGAAATCAAAATATCTTCATCCTAAACACTTTAACAGGATATGATGCCAAATGAGTTGGAAAGATCAGCACATTTTCCAGAATTTTTTTCTCCTCATTTGATGCAAAGAAAGAGAAAACATTCTTAAAAACACAGTGAAAAGCTCTTTTTTTTTTTTTTTTTTAAGTAGGCAGAATATCAACAGAACCTGAGAACTATTTTGTTAAAGGCTTTACATGTATGAGCTTTATCCAGCTGGTTCTCATGTTGGGGTTTTAAAGAAGGAAAGTCACTTATAATTGGTTTGTTGGTTTTCCATCCCCCCTTAAAATGGATAGCTTATAGTTTTGTCACCTTTTATGTCTCTCTCTGTCCGTCACATGACACCAAAATGGATTGAGGATCTAAATAAGTACTGAACTAAATGCTTCTTATTACAACTCAACCAAAAGTTAACCTTTCATATGTCCAAATTCGGTATAATCCAGCCCTAAAGCTAAGGAAGTGGACACCGGAATAAGCAGCGTGCCTTTAAATCTGAATAAATTGTTCCTCTCATATTTATCTAAAGTTCAGCTCTGACTTTGCCACAAAGGTGCCTTTAATAACAGAAGTTGCACAACGTGATCTTCATCTGGGGAATGCCGAGCAGTCGTGACGTAAAGTTGAAGTTATTCCAAGTAAGGAGCCTCATGAGATGGAGATCTGACCTCAGCTCTGAGTGTGAGGATGGGGCCGACGCTGGGCAGATGAGGAGCGTGTGACACCGGAGGGCATTTAAACCCGGCTGCAAACAGAACACAGCCTGTGCCGGGTGTTCACCAGACCCCCTTGACCTGGGCTCGTTTGGGATCCTTGATCCCTCTGGAGGAAAATGGACCTGCTGGTGGACGTTCCATGTGCATGCCCACAAATCCTTCCATCAATCCAAACCTGGATCCTCGGAGTTCATTCATTTCTGCTCGCTTTGCTTGGAGCTCTTCAGACTTTTGGAAGAAGTGGGTGTTGGCCAATCAGAAACACGGCCAGCCGGCAGAGTGAAGTGTGTCGGTGCGTGTGTGGGCGGTGTGTTTGAGTCCCCTTTACCTTCAGCTCTGTCACCACCATTCTTCTGGTCTCCAGCTGACATTGAAGTTGAGTTTTCAGCCGCCCGTCCACCAGAGGAGACTTCTTTTCCCCCCGAGGGCCAGCACTGAGGGGGCCCAGGGCGCAGAGGCAGGCGGCCGAGGGCGAAGCAAGCCGGAGAGGAGACAGAGGAGAGGAGGAAGAGGAGGGAGGAGGAGAAAGGGTGGAGGAGAGAGGGCACATATCCATGCTACTAACGGCTTTCCTCTTTTCCCCTCACACACACTCTCTCTCCTCCACACATCCTCTGCTGAGAGGCCGGCAGGAAAGGAAGGGAGGGAGGGAGGGGGGAGGAGAGGGAAGGGAATAATGCTGGAGGGAGAGAGGGGGAGGGACGGGGAGGACATGGGGAGATATGTTGCATTCAGGCAACCGGGCAAAAGGTGGTAAAAAGCCATTAGAGAAAACTCCCCCTGAATAAAATGGTTCCTAAAAGGTTTGAATGCCGCACAAACTGGATAGAAACTATATATAAAAGGATTCATTTGTCATTTAAATTACTCACTTGACTGGCAATTTTACAGCACTGGCACATCTCTTATCAAAACGGATTGTTTTTTGGAAAGAAAAAACAATCATCATATGTGAGGCAGAGGCACAAAGACACAGAAAGCTTTTCAGAACTAAAAAAGAAAATGAAAGAAAACACCCGTCGAAGCATTTAAGATCAACGTTAAAAAAGGCTGAATGGAAAAAACTTTTTTTTACTTCAAAAATGAACTTTCTCAGCAGGAGAAATCCCAGTTTAGATGGAACAGCTGATCTGCCGTGATCTGCAGACCCCAAAGCAGCAGCGCATGAAAAACTCTGACCTTTTTATGAAGACATCACTTCTCTGTCTAACCAACACAAATGTGAGACTTAACACTGGATAAAAAAAACAGATTACATTTAAGGGGGTCGCTCCTGGTGCGTCGAGCCAAAAGCTGAAAGTGATGCTGCTTCTTCCAGGCCTGTGAAGGCACCAATTCTTTCTACTAATGTCAGAGAAGGTTTTGCTTAAAAAAAAAACGTATTCTGCATGTTCCAGAGCGGCAGAACTGGTCGTCCCAGGGTCCAAACGATTTTGCTTAGTTGGGAAACCAAAAGAGTTTGTGGCACTGAGTTGAAAAGGACGGGAAGGATAAAAGAAGAGTTTCTCTGTTTTAAGGTCTATTTTCAGATATCTGGATTTAGGTTTTCCACACATAACATCATTATTATTATCATTTACAGGAAAAGATGAAACTTCCTCTGATCTCAGGTCTTCCTACCGGGGAGGCGAGCTGAGGGGTCGAGGACAAACACAAGGACAGAGGAGGTGAGGTGATAACATTCAATGAAACAAGGCGTCTACCTTCAGAGCCTCATCTTAAGCCAACGCCGAGTGCTCCACATATCACATGACTGCTCCATCCACGGCTCCAGACAGGGACCAGTTTACAGAAATGAACGAGATAAAACCTTGTAATTATGTTAAAACTCTTTCAAACTGATTTTTTTGTGCTGGTGTTTGACCCTGAACGCATCGCTTCTTTTTCCACGAGCATTAACTATTAAAACATGTTACCGTAATTGACTGAGATTATCGGGGAATTTCACCAGGGACTTCTTGAACAGGCCCCCCGGCGCATGAAGGCACCACCAGGACATGGGGGGGGGGGGGGGGACAGGGGGCAGTAGAACTGGACCCTCTGGGAGCCTGAAAGCCTCAGAAAAGTGGAAACCAGTTACGGGAAGAAACGATGTATAATGTAGAAGTCATTATCCTGCTGCTGGCTGTAGGAAAGGACTAATGGAGTCCATAATGATTCAGGCCCTTGGTGGAGCCTCTGAACAGGTTCTGGTTGCTTTCTTGACGTGGCTGAAGGAACCAGAGAGGCAGCAGCAGCAGCGTGTGGCCGGCCGGCCGGCTGATGCTCTGCAGCTGTTGGACAGAGGGTCTGGCCCTGACCCCGCCGGCCTGTTTACGCCACGCCGAGCTTCCCGGACCTCTTCACAACACGGCAAGAAGCGAGCCAAGTGGCCCAGCAGCCGGGGCCAGCACAAACACAGTCTGGAGGCAGCGCTGAGCCCGCCGGCTCACGCAGCCGCGCATTTCCTCATGAGGGGTTTAAGGTTTTAGGGACGGGCCCAACCAGACCAAGAGACAAACTCATTAAAGGAAGCTCAACTGAGGCACAACGGCCTTTAAAGCACTCCAGATTGTCAGGACGGGGCCCAAGGCAGGACTCAGATGCAGGGCTCAGCAGATACGAGGTTTTTATCGTTAACAAAATTCACACTCTCTCAGAGTGGAAGAAAGGGCTATAAAAATGCAAAATAATAATGCAAAATAATAATCTCTCCAATTGATTTGCTTTTCCAGTCCACTTCTGAAAACACAGAGTTTCAAAGAGTTAAATGTGCACAACGTGGGAAGAAAAAAATTCTTGATGATATTGAAATGATCACAAAAGCTGAGTCAGCATCCTTCAACAGCAGATCTCTCTCTCTGTGTCACACTTTTCTTCCATAAATCAAAGTCTCACAGTCCAACAACAGTCTGACACAGTGCAAATGCATTCGATTTCTCTACTTTTTCTAAAACTGACGGCAGAGATCTGGACCAGCAGCTGGTTCACAGGCAGCTCAAACGGAGGCGTAAACACTCGATCTCAGCTCTCTGCCTCACGCCTTCGAAAAAGTTGGCTGTAAAGCATGTTTTAAATGTGGACAAGTCAAGTCTAAACAGAAAGTCCAATTTCCCTCATAAATGGAGCCCAAATAAAGGCTTGATCAGACGTCCGTGTGGGAAACTGTCCGGCTGTGTGTGGCCGCCCAAAACAAAAGCGCATCAACCCGTGCGGCCGTGGGGCTCTGCAGGGTTTATCTGGGTTCTCTGTTTGGTGTGAAATGAAAAGAGTCAATATTAGAGATCTTTTGTGGCCCCCTTCACAATCCAAACCCCGAATAAAATCAGCATGTGTTGAAAATGAGCTTTGAGCTGACCTTTTTCTGTCATAGTGCCGTGAAAATTAGCAAGAAAACTGAACTTCTGGGAGCTGAAGCTCCTGCAAATGAAAAATGAGCACATCACCATGAGGCATTTCACCTGAGCTGCGACGCCCCCCCACCAAACAGTTACAGATGATTTTATATGTTCCCCACATTCCTTTAGTCTAAGGATTCAAGAATTCTGTGATGTTTAAGTGGCTCACAAATGGTCTGCCCTCAGTCACCTGAGCCAGGGTCTTTAAAAACCTGCATGTTTCTCCCCCCCTTTAAAAAGTCTATTTGTGTTAAACTGTTTTAAAAAAAAAAAAAGAATTTAATATTTGTTATCATTAATCCTTAGACAACCAAATTGATCAAATCCTGACATGGAAATGACTGAAAACTAAATGAAATACCTAAAAAACCCACAAAGGAACCCTGGAAATAAACCACCTGACCTCCAGTAATGCTGTTGCATAACGCCCACGCCGCTTTGCCCATAGAAGGATGGTATCTTTCCATCCGTAAATCTCTTATTTTTGTCCTCCTAACAAGTCTCCTCAGTGTCACCTCCTGTGTTGTTGCCACACAGGAACAACTTCCTCCAGCCGTGTAGGAACCGAGCCCAGGCCGACACTCCAGGATGTTGTGTGGAGCGTGTTCCTGCCGGGGGAGTGGGGGGGGGGCTCGCATCGATAAGGACAACAAGGCCTCCGACCTGCTGGTCTCCGCTCTCTCACTCAAACTGAAGGGAAAAAACTCAATTATGGCAATTAAATACACCACAAATCACTTTATACACAAACGAATAAAGTATACAGAGTGCTCTTATATCTTTATAAGATCCCAGTTTATATATTCAGGTGCCATGTTTCTTATATGTCTGTTTAAACAAAGCTTAAAGAAATGTTGAAGTTATTTTCGAAGCGGAAAACTTTGAATGACCAAACTGCCCCAAAAGCAAAAGCCAAAAGCTCCTTCTGCTGCTCCTAAAGCAGCTCATGGCTTTGATGCTTCCAGAGTTCAAACTTTAAAACCAGAGAAATCTGGACTTTGGTCTGAGCGGCCATCTCTTGTGTGTGAAGCACGGCGGAGGTGGTGTGATGGTCTGGTTCGCAGCGTGGCACGTCCTGTGTCTGGACGGCTGCTCGACCAACAGGAGGGATGAAAAGCTGCATCACATGGCCCCAGAGGGGGGGGGGCAGATCAGTTTAGATCTGCAAGTGAAATAGAAGAAAAGCACCCAAACGTGTTCCTCAGTGACAGATGACGGATCAGACCTGTGGGGGGGGGTGCTGGACACGGAGAACACGGCTGATGACACAGCCCGAGCAGAAAGAAGAGCGCTCCCCTCCCCTTGTCATCACCTTAAGCTCCACTACGCCCAGCAGCACCTCCACCCAGAGAAGCTATGGGATGAGGGGAAGTCTAATTCTAGACCACTTCCTGTCTGACATTCCTGACCTGAGCAGCCTTCCTGCCCGACTCTCTCAGGCTCCACATGTGCAGCGGGACGGTGGTCCCCGCTGACACTTTTACACTCTTATATGTGACGGATAATTAGCAAATCCAGGAGGAAGGTGGGTGGAAAACATAGAAATAGGAAGTATTCAAGCCCAGGCCATTGTATTGTTTTTTCTCTCGATTCCGACCAGTTTTTCTGTGAGCGACTCTAAATGAGCCACATTAACCCTCCTGTTGCCCTCAAGTCAGTTTGCCCCGTATTTTCCATTTAACTGCCTGAAAATTACTTGGATTGTATACAGTGATCTTTTTCTGGATAATACAGCAACACGTGTGTGGCTCCGATTCAAACTGCAGTCAGAATCATTCATGATTCCTGATAATTTTCCTCCAAAATGAGGAATAATCTTAAGAATGATCACCTATTCAAAATAAACAAATGTAAAAAGTCAACTAAAAAGGTGGAGCACAACATTGTATGATCCTTTTATACTTGTCTATACGTACTTTATAAGTCATGTGACCCAGGAGGACAATGGCTGTGACGGTTTTCTGCCAAAAATACCATTTGTCTCTAAACATTATCAGTTTTGATCAAACAACATATATTCAAAAGATAAGTATAATTTAAGTGTTAATGTCTTGGAAATAAGTTCACTGAAAAGGGGAAACATTCCCAATGTTTCATATTCTGATTATTTTATTGGTACTTTCCATTAAGTGCATATGAAAGTCCACATAAACAACATTTATAACAAAGTGACAGATTCTCGGTGGAAACACTCGGAGGAGAAACTAAACAGACCACATTCATTCCAGCTAAAGTGACACAGCAGCCTTCTGTTTGTGCGCACCAACACAAAAAGTGTGCTTAGAAATACCCATGAACTCTTCACGGCGCTGGGAGAGAAGCTAGACCACAAATTACAAGTGTCTCTCTCTTATTATGACGGTTTCCTTCACTAAGGTGCCACATTTAGAGGAACAACCAAAGATGCAGATTCTTTGCACATCCAAAAGGACAGAAACGCATCACAGATGAACCAGTTTTTCCACACAAAAACTCCCATTTACAGAAAACCTCCTCACGTAAAATGCATTTGTATATTATAGGATGTTCTGAAGCCTTCGATGTGTCATTAGATACAGATTCCCAATCAGAACAAGAGAAATAACTTCTTTTTTTTTTAACAAGTAAGCTACTAATTATACATTTGCCCTCAAAACAGTAAACGTATCTGGTAGTTAGTTCAGTTAACATCCACCTGAAGCAGAGGTCCATAATCGAAAACATCCCCTTTTTAAAGAAGCTCCCGTTAAAAAAAACTTTTAAATCATGTGTAGTGTTTCTGGCTTTTTCCAAGCACTCTCCCATCCTAGTATTAGTTCATCAGATTATACAGATCATTGCTTTAACCTTACATCTTAAATGATACAAAAATAGAATCTGAATCCAAATAACTGTGTGAATTAAGTAAATAAACTACAAGGATCAAAGGAAAGTGATCAAATAATACTGACACAAAGAAACCGACTCCCAAAAACCAGAAAAGAAAAACAAACACTAAATAAAACCAGATCTCCAGAAAAATCTGATGACGTAAAACTACAAATTTTCTCTTGGCAACGCTGAGATTGAAAATAAAAATGAAAACCAACAATAAAGATTGGATTCAGGTTCAAATAAAAACAGAAAAATCAAAATTTCCCAAAGACGTTAACGTCAGACGCGTTTTGTCGGTGCGGATCCAAACCGGCCCGAGTCCCAACGACGGTGTGAGCGCCGCCTTCAGGGAGCGCAGGAAACGGGGACGCTACAGAATACTTTCCCTTAGGCTCCCACCGATGGATGTGTTTGCCTGCTGGCTCTCCGACTCGGTCCGGTTCCATGTGTGGAAGTCCAGCAGGGCCTGGTTGAGTTTCTCCATCCAGTCCAGCCTCTCCTGCTTTGTGTCGGCCGAAAACCAGCACCTGAAAAACCAGAACCCCGTTTTCATCCAGCTCCAACCAAACTGGCGAAGTCACAGCAAGCTTTCATCATACGGCAGAAGTCCCAAAGCTCTGCATAGCTGGTCCCCATTCAGGGCCAAGCCTTCTGCTAATTCAAAGTTAATTAAGCTTTCCGTTCAAGAGAGCGAGTAAAACATTCAGATGCGCATATTTCACCAAATGGATAAGTGACGCAAACTCAGCTAAAATGAGTGAAATCATCTTTGGCGTTAAAAAGATTCACCTGTGCCTTTAAGAACACTAACTGCTTTTCACACACGTAAGTTTGCCCGATCAGCACAAAGACCTGGAGCTGGTCTCCTCCGGCCTGAAGGGCCTAAACGGCGTTGCTATAGAAACTTACTTGGCCAATGCCTCCTGGTTCTGGTCCTGCTGCTGGGCGATGCTGCTCACCAGCTCAAAGGTGAAAGGTCGAGCACAGGAGTCTCTCTTCACCGGCCTGACGCACTGACTGGGGAACCTGGACAGGGACACGCTGCCTTCTGCTTCCTGTACATTTCAAACGAGAGGCCCCAATCAAAACTCCAGAAAACGAGCAGCTGGACTTTGCCTGCGAGCACATCTGCTGGTCTGCCCGTACTTTGGTTTCTCGGTCATTCGGGTGGTTCCAGTAGCACATGTTGCATCCTTCCAGAATGAAGAAGCGGCGATGCCACACCCCGAATCCGCTGATTAACTCAAACATTGTCTGGAAGCAGAAGCAAAAAGACACTGTCAGTTCCCTGCAATTAAGAGAGAAGCAGTCTGTGCAGACGGCAGCATCGACATTCACTCTAAGACCTGAGAGAGTGTTTATGCAGAAGAAACTCAAATACCATCAGCACTTTCAATCGTTTTCACACAGTTTTAAAGGTCATTGGGAAATGAACTAACAAATCATCTACCGCAATACCGCCCGCTTTGAGCCATACAAGGAGGTTTTGTCTGCAGCTCTTCTATGATGGTGAAAATATATGAGGCTGGAAATGGTCGACAACACACTGATGGCTTTGGGTCGGTGCTGCTCACATGTATCAGAAGAACAAACCTTCAAACCCTGAACAAAGGAAATTGACTTTTTTTTGCCCTAAAGGTCGTGCTAAACGCACATATCTGTCTAGAGGTGATGCTTTCCTCCTGGTAAAGAATGTCCAGACAGACACGGTACTTCCAATCGAGTCTTAAAACCCGAGAGACTTGCTTGAACACAAGGACTCTGAAAACAGACAAACTGTCAGGCACAGCCGAACGTGGCGAATGTGACAGAAACAGACCCTTCAAAACATCTTTCAGCTCAGACCGTAACAAACATGTGAATAAGATTTGAGATGATTTAATTTAGTTTAACCTAATTTAGCTGGTTGCTTCAGTTCCCATGTTGAGGCAGCATGGAGAGAGCTGCATGGGGACTGGGAATCTAATAAAAATCAGGGAGGGGGCAGGTCACAAGTACAGACCCAGCTCAAATCATCTTGATTAGTATTAAAAAAAATATCTAAAGAACCGGTTTTTACCCCCTTTTTACCAGAATTAGGGAAAAAGACGCATTTCTGCAACATCACCCATTATAATAAGCCATTTCTCTTAAGAATAAACACCAGGTAGGAAATCAAGACAAAAACCAAAAACAAATAAACAAACAAACAGAACGGTTGCAGGAAAAACTGACCAGGAAGCCTTGGTGCTGGACGTTGGAGTGGCTTTTGCTGTCCAGGTGCAGGTAGATGTTGCCCTCCAGAGGAGAGAGAAATGGCACCTACATTCAGGAATACAAAAAGTCAAGCCGGTACTTATTTCACTCCAAGGGTCCATTTTAAACGAGTCGTTCTGACCAAAAGTAAGCGGATCGGGTTACGATAGATCCATAAAATCAACTAGTAAATTCTCGGCAAAACATCAAATCGCATTAAATGAAGACGCTTTTATAATAAATATTCACTTATCCTCAAGCAGAGGGCAGCCTCGGCAACAAAAGGTTGGAACATTTAGGAACAGCTGGAACAAGCTGCGGGTTCGTTATTTCCACAGGAAAAGAGCATTTCACTTTCAATGTTTAAATGCTGTCGTGATCTCTTATGGATGAAATAGTACCTCAAACAATTGCTTTTTGGCACAGTGCTCCAAGTCTTTTGGAAAAGTAGCTGAGAAGTTTCTATGCCTCCCAAAAATGATGTTTTTGAGAAGAAAAATACAAAAATTAAAGAATGTAATAACTTTAGAAAATATTTACATAATTCTAATTAATAACAATGTAATAATGATGTACTAATCGGCATTGTAGAATTTTAATTTAAAAGGATTAGGATGACTGTTAGTTTGACACAAAGCAGAGGAAGAAGTCTCCAAAGTGAAAGGGTGACAGTGATGTGAAAACAGTGAAACCTTTTCCAGAAATTCATCTCCAAGCAGCCTCTTGATTTTGCCTTCAAATTTCATCTGAGTGGAAGAGCCAGGACAGAGAGGGGAGGGGGAAGACAGACAAATTACATCACCAGTGAGCCCACCTATGTGCACAGACTTTCAAAAGCATCCACAAAAAGAGCCAAAGTGATGAATAGTGGCATCTGTGGCCCAGTGCTTCCTGTGTCTAATAAAGAATAATATGAGGATAAATGTGTCGAGCCCAGTGACAGTGCAGGCATTACAATGTTTTTCAAAGAAAGTAATCTTTAATTTCTTTAATACAGCAGACCTTGTTTTACATCACAAACTGGTTTCCAATTTAAATTTGCTTTTAAAAAGTAATCCTCAGCTGACAAATCAACGCAAAACAGACTGGAACAAAACAAAAGAATGAGGCGTAATTACCTTATCCAGAGGGAACTTGGTGTGTCCCAGTGAGGCCAAGCTGATCTTATGAGAGCCCACCAGAGAGAAGTTGCTGGAGCGGCGAGCGCTCAGAGTGGTGGGGGTAGTGCCTGCAGGTCAGAGAACCAAAAACCCCCTGTAAACCCCCAAAAGCTTTGAAAATGAAAACATCAAAGCTAAACTGAACTCACTTGTCACAGTGTTACTGGATCTCTGTAGGAAACAAACAAAAGAAAGATTTAGATCAAAACAGCATTGCAAACGTCCAGAGTGGGAAACAAACCCTGAATACTCACTTTCATGGTGCTCAGAAGCTTTCTCGGTGTGACCTGAATGATTGAAGATTACTTTAATAACAGCTGATTCATAAATAAACAGATTCCTAGCTCATCATTTGTGAGAAAACCGTTCACTCGCCCGTGATTTGGTGGTGGTGGCAGTCCGATCCATGCTGCAGCTGGTTCCTGAAGTGTGGGACTAGATACAACAAAAAAGCCCATGAGACCCCAAAGAAATGATAAATACTGACTAAAGCTGTTCAATGCAGCAGTCAGAGGAACAGACAGCTGAGTGACTCACAATAAAAGCTGAATTCTCAACCTCTTGTATTAAATTTAATGTCTGACAAATACAAACTTTTTATTCTGAATGTTTTTTCTTTTTTCTTTTATATATTTTCACTTGTTTATGCGACAGTCTTTCATCTGTTTTTAACTAGTCATGTCAAAGCACAAACTAAACTCCTCATATAATCAGCCAAACCAGTCTTCTCTTTTTAGCTCACCCTGCAAAACATCATGTATTTCCTAAAGCTAGAATAAACAATACACAAAGAAACCACTAGGAGGAGTTAATAAATGTCTCACCAGGCTGTAGACTTCCACGTCTATCTCAAAAGATGAACGAATATCCTTCCTGAAACAAAGGAAACAAAATTCTGCATCAGTCAGTTCTACAGATTCTCAGTAGAAATCAACTTTTGTGGATCAATATTGAAAAATATAAAAGGGGGATGTGGGCTAAACGACGCTTACAATGTGACCGATGTGGGGAAGGAGATGGTGTCTCCGTTTCGAGCGTCGGCCGCTGTGGCCAGCGGAGTGGCGACGATGTTGCACGGCCCGTAACGGATCAGAACGAAGAAGTAGTGGCTCGCTCGACCTAAACGGGCACATTTAGGTAAAAAAAAAGGCTTAGTGCAGCACGGCTTGATGCTAGAAACCCAGGAGAAGGAGAGCGGCGCTACCTGTGCGGTTGTGAGAAGAGCAGACGAACTCCACCTTCAGGGGCAGCTGGATGCTGGTGATGCTGACGGTGCCTCTGCAGGGCTGCAGAGAAACGTACTCTGTGTCCTCCTTCGCTGCCTCCTCAGATTCAGAGCTCCTCTCCTCTCTCAGTCTGGCCACCTCTGCCAGCAGGGCGGAGCGTTTCTCACCTGAAACAGGAGATGCGGCCACAGAACGCACTGTTAGATCCACCTCTGGTTTCTGCCTGCTGTGAAGCAGACAGAAGCGTCTACAAATAAACATTCTTTTTGACAGCTAGTTCTTGATTTATTCTTTTCGAGTCTGTCTAAGTGAAACAGGATTGAAGGTAGAACGGGGACTGTGCTGTACATACAGGAGACCAGCAGCAGCTTCTCAGCCTCCGCCTCCTCCAGCGAGCCTCGTCCGTGTTCTTCATCAATGCAGCAGCTCAGAGCCTGGAGAGTCTGGTTGATCACATTCTGCAGTTTTCCCGCTTCTTCATTTAGAGCCTATCAGGAAAATGATAATGTGTTGATTACCCAAAACTCAAAACGTGCAAAAATCGAAAAGGCTGAACATTATAGAGATTAAGTTTAAAACAAATTTAGGTTATTTTCATATCGTCAAATGCTAACAAGATGACCAAATGATAAACATGTTCAGTGTTTTCAAGTTTTTGAAAAAGCTGATTATTCGTTTCAGTATCTTTGGCATTTTCTGACATATCTGGACCATAAGAATGAATCATTTCTCAGGCGTAAACATTGTTGTACACACTGTGATTTTCTCCTTGGCGTTGATGGAGGGCTGAGGCTTGGATGTGTCTGGAGCTCGTCTCTGAACTGCTGGTGTGACGCTCTGAATGGTGGGGAGCTTGCTCAGCCTTTGTGTGCGGTAGGCATCAACGCTGTCAAACAGAACATTCAATCACAGACTGAAGAAAAGACCCTTTCTGCAACATTTTTGAGCTGGTTTGGATGCTGTGGGGCTGAAAGGACTTCTTTAGATGGTAACGTTTTTCATATCATGATCCTTAACCATGGCAAAAGTAAAGGTGTTAACCTGCAAAAGGGAAGCTATTTAAGGAGGAAGAAGTGTAAAGCATTTCTTCCCCTAATCCGTTTAGTAATAATTTATGGCTATTTCTTTTTGCTCACACAGCTCAAAGATCTGTTCAAGTTAGATCTGTCATCTTGGACAATTCTACTGTGTGAACACGTCCAATATTGTTAATTTAGTACCTGTATAGAGGCGCTGACTCAGCAGGAGGAGTGCTGGTCTCCTCTGGGGTCAGGAGCAAAGATGGAGGATTGGACTCTTGAGCTGCTGCCAGACGCTGTTGGGGCGAAATGACTCATTACAATTAGATTACCGTGGTCCCCCCCCTCAGCCAAAGTTCACAGATCTCACCAGTGGGGTGACCACAGCCTCTACAGACTTGCTGAGAGGAGAGAGGATGCCACTTGGAGGAAAAGTGAGCAGTTCATCTCCGATGCTGTCAAGCTTCCTGTTGGGATCGTCCTCCTCCTCTTTGGCTTCCGTTTCTTCACGCTTCTCCCCGTCTGTGTCCATCTTGTCTTTGCCTCCGGAGCAAACACCGATGCCACTGTCGCGGTCCTCTATATCTTCATCTGGATTGCGATCTTCTTCTGCCCTTTCAGCGTATTCCAGCACCTCGTCAAACATCTGCTCGATTAATTCAGCCGTGTTGGTCTCATCGTGCGAGCTCAGACCTGTTTCTGACAAAGAAAAAGGCACAAAAATGCATCTAGGTATTTTCTGTGGAAACCAACAGGAAAAAATGAATGAACACCACCTGTTTGTGTACCCGGCCACTTCACCCATGTGCTCCACCTCTCTTTAACGCAGCCCCGGTGCTGTACACCAACACCAAGACTGATCTCACCTGACAGACTCGTCTCTGCCCTGGACTCCATTGATGTGTCGCTCGCAGACAAAGCAGAGCTGTTAATCAGCTCGGGCTTCAGGATGAAGGTGACTTTCTTTGAGCTTTCTTTTCCCCGTTTCTCTTGGGTTTCGTCTCTCTGCCCATCTAAAACACCTTGCCTCGCAGCTGAAAGCTCTACATGTGCAATATTCCTATCTAGTTCTCCCTTCTCCATCTGGCTTTCTTCCCAGGCTTCAGATCCACCTTTCATAGCCTCCGATTCATCAGCGCATGCTACGCCTTTCTGCGGCGCTTTCGCAACACCCTCTGCACAGACCTCCACTTTCTCTTGATCACCCTCGAAACCAGACTCTTCTATCACAGAATCATCTAAACAGCTTTCTGACGCAGCTTTCTCCTTGTCAAGTTTGGACGATTCAAATGCCTTTTGACTGCAGGCCTCCTGTTCTTTACCTCCAACAGATTCTTCATCCTGATACGCACTCCGTTGAGGATACCTCCACATCTTTAAGTCCTCCTCTGTTGAAAGCTCCACCTGCTCTTCGGCACACGAGGAATTGTCTACCGTTTCATCTTCATCCAAAGTTAACACCTCAGACGTGTCTCGCTCACTTATTTCAGAAACCTCCATCCTTTCTTTTCCTTTCGACTCGTCTTGAAAAGTTGATTCTAGAAAACTCTGCTGACCCTCGCTGAAGGACAACATTAACACAGTCTGGCTTTCTGGTTGCTCTGAACATGCCTGCTGGTCTTCATTCATAACAGAAACCTTGTGCTCCTTCTCCTCCCTGAAGTCTTCACTGTGATGACCATCACGATCCTGCTCCTCACGAGAGCTTACAGGCTGTGCGGACGCAGTAGGAGCTTCAGAGGCAGAAGAGCCCTTTTGACCTGATGAAGGATTCTCACATCTCATTATTGGTGGTTGTAAAAAATTATTTTTGTGTTAGTATCTTTGACTCTGGTGCCTCTGTGGACACCAAATATGTCGACATTCATGAAACAGACCTGACACCATATCCTGGGAAAAACTCCCCTCCCTTCCCTAACAGGGCTCAAAAGTATTCAATAAAAATGTTCCAGCAGCTCTGTATTACACCTTAAGTCTTCATTCAGTCAAACATTTTACCACAAATTACCCCAGTTGTTTTGGAATAGAATATGTCATAAAGAAACAAGGAAAATACCTGTTATATTACCAGAAGGTTTCTCTGAACCTGATGGAGCATCAGAGAAACTGCCATCATTCAACTCAGCGTCACCAGGAACCTGCAGGAAGATCAAAAGCAGTGCATCAGGATTAAAGAACAGTGTGAGGCCGTTTCAGTGCTTTCAGCCCCAAAGACATCAAGTGTACAGAGGGCTGAGCTGACTAAATTCAAAGTTTAAGCATCTTGAAAATTCCATCAATTGAATTAAATTATAAAATATACCATTAATTAATATTTATTTACTGAGACATCAGAAGATCAAAACACCCCAAAGTGACACTTCCACCATGTACAACATGAAGAGTTATCTAATACATATACAGTAGGTTTCTGCGTCCTCAGTGAACACCAGAATTCCCGAAAAAAGACCAAAATATTTTAAGCAGGAGGTCAGAGGTGAACGTCCAAACAAAGCCTAAAGGAGGTGAACAGAAATGGGTGCAAATCGAAGGTGATCCACAGCTTTGAGTGTGTACGACTTGGAAAAAGTGCAACTGCTTGTTTTGTTCATTTTTCTTTTTTTTTTTAAAGATCGCTGACTCACATCCCAGGACTGTGTGGGGGGCCAACGCACCCTCCTTTGAGATCTAGGAACCCAAGAGGCGGGCGAAGAGGAGCCATCAGGGGTCCTTCCCTGCTGTTTGCATTAACCAGCATGTAAAGACTTTAAACACAGTTTCTAAAACAAACCTTCATTACTGCAGGTGTCTATGGATCAATGTATGGGGCAACAATCTGATATATTTCTTAAATTATATAAAGTATATAAATGAATGGCTGCTATATACACACAAACGTGTATTTCATTAGCAAAATGTTGGGAAAACACCTGAGTTAGGGAGGAATCGGAGCTGCTTCTTTTCAGCCAGGCATTTTCACTGATTGGCTGGAAGCGTAACTGGTTCAGCTCCTCGTCCCGTTCCTGAGCAGAAACAAGTCAGATTTTAGATGGAGATTCTCAAAGCACATTAAAACTTTCTTCCAATCACAGTGAAGAGAAAGTTTATAAATGATTAAAACTCTCCTGCTGTCAGGCCACACCGAGGCATCGCAGCGATGAGGGAAACCAACCTGACGGATTCGGGAGGCCTGCTTGGAGCTGGGGGTCGTTGAGCACTGGAGCATCTGCTGAATGCCGGTCACGAGGTGGGAGCGGGACCGTGGACAGGAGCTTGAGGGGCTCTGCATGAAGGCCGGGCTTGCCTGGGAGAGCGGTGACTTAAAGCGCTCCTTGCGCTGATTAAATTCTCCCTCACCTGGTTGTTACACGTTACATACTCTTAGTAAAAAAAAATTGTCCATAAGTTAAGGTTTCATATTTTACTTTTTGACAAAGTCTGTAGTTAGAAATGGCTCAGATGACCCAGAAACATCCCATGATGCACCTTTCCCCTGCTGTAAATAGTAAAGTGGGATGATTTTCATGCTCCGGTGTGCATTTCAGAGCTTACCCAGCAGATGCTCCTTGTCGTGGACACTGACAGACGAGCAGTGAGCTCCGGGATCTGAGAGGCACCGCTGCGCCAGAGGAGCTCCTGAAATTAAAAGAAAATATTTCTTAGATGTCACAAATCATTTTTCTGTTTCTTCTTGCATGTTGCATGTAGATAGTCCGACTTAATGACTTAATATGTCCAGCAGCACTACAAAAGCTTGTTTTGTTTTGTAAACACAATGTTAGCAGATAAGCCTTTTTATTTTCATTTTGGGGTAGACATGGATCAATAATCCTGTTAATAAATTGTAGATTGTCACAATTACCGTCTCTTTGAGTCAGCAGCTGAACTCGGGAGCGCACTGAAGGAACTATAGGCGTGTCTGGCTTTGTTTCTAGCTCAGCCAGGCGTCCAGAAGAGGTTTGTTTAGGACTTCGGTTCTCCTGACCAGCTGCTTCCAGACGCCGCCGCTTCAGGCCATCGTTTACTTCCGACACAACAAACAAAAAGCTTTTATTGAAAGTGGCACATTTCTATCAGAAATAACTGTAATGGCTGGTTGTGAGTGTCCGCACATTAAATGTAATCATAAAGATAAAAATCCTATATATTTCTGTCATATTAGGCACAAACAAACCTGGTGCTGAGTGGACGTTGTCTTCTGAATCTGACAGAGGTTCTCTCTGTCTCTTCAGGTTGGTACTACAGTTTTCCTCACCAGCTTCCATAATGACCTGCAGACAGGGAGCAAAGGTGATTTCACAGTTGATTGACAGAAAGAAAGGAAATTCATAGACTTTCTAGCTAAAGACCTGCTAAGGCAGACAGACAGAAACTGCTATGGCAGTCACCAAACACTTACAAACTTAGTACTAAATCAAGAGTTTCCTGGTCATTTTAAATGTTTCTAATTAAGTTGTATGTTGTTTTTCTAATAGCTTAATGCCTCCTTAAATGTCTGATATATTAAGGGTGCCTCAACAGCTTAATGTTGAAGAAAAACAGGAAGCTAACCTCAGTACCACCATACTGAATAAAGCATAAATCCTAAAAGCTCGTTTCAAAGGTCATTCGTCTGTTTGAATTGACCCGTATGAGTATCCAGTTAAAGTGGAGACATTGAATATGGATAGGTTTATACATTTAGACATGACGACGCGCAGTTTTAACTTTGTCATGTTTAATTAAACTGAGCAGCCGTGCTAGCTGGATAGCCACATCAAGTCTTCTTGTTAACGAGGTTAACTAAACAGCAACCACCTTGTGATCGTTTTGCTTTTTTTTTACTCGTATACAACAAACAGTAGTGACATGTCATAACATAATTTAGTCGGTGAAACATCTCACAAAAACGGTACATACCAAGCAGCTGTCTATTCAACTAGCTACTTTCAAGCTAATTTAAGTATAACTGCACAATTTAACGTTAGCTTAGCAATGGGTTAGCATAACAAGCGAACGACAACAACGGCCAGCTAGTCTAAATTTGTTAGGTCTTGTTTTAAGTGAGCCGTTCCTCTCTTACCCCAAATTATGACGGGAAAATATCGCCGTTGGAATACTTGTCGACACTAACTGACAAAGAGCAAAACTACTGTATTGCTCAGGCAACTCTTCCTTCTACTCCTTCAACTTTGAATTTCAGCGGGTCTTCTCACATAGGTGGAGCCTGCAAACGCACCTTCTTGAAAGGTTCGAAAGGTGCTGACTGGGGATCAGTATTTTCAGAGTCCAGATTAAAACACGGACCAACATTCACAGAATACGCCGATCTGGGACCAGTTGTTACCGTAACAGATGCAAAAAATGCGCACTGTTTATCTAAAAAAGTCCAGTCTATCTGCATTCCACCAAAATCTCCTCCCCAGGGAGCGCTGATCTAAGACGAGTAGTTTTTCGTTACATTCGTTTCTATGTACACAATAGAATTTAAAAAAGGAAGAAATAAAGGAACTGGTCCAGGTGCAGCCCACAATACATCTGAAGACGGCACTGACCTGGGGCCAGTCATTTCTACCGTACTCCATGTTAACTATGCGAATAGCGGGTTTGATATATCTATTTAATCAATGTATTTATCATATTATTTATCATTAGGTAGATATCTATGTTATGTGTGTTATATAGTTGTGGTATCAGGATGATAAAAGATTATCCAGAAAACAATAGTTTTACAACATCTACTCATTAAAAATGGATTTCACAATTCATATTAACAATTATAATTAACAATTGTATAAAGTGCATACCATTGCCATGGTATTTTAGGGGTGTCAGCATTTTTTATTTAGCTTATGGAAATAAAGCATTTTACAAAAACATTTTTAGGCTACCGATTTT